CGTGTGCTCCCCCAGGCATTACTAGCTGTAGTCCTGGAGGTCCTGGAGGTTGGAGTGGCCTGGTATTGGGTCTGGGGTGTTCCAGCACTCAAGGTTTGAGTTCCATCACATACTCGGGCCCTGGCACTGAGAGACTACTTGATTGGGAGAGAATTCCTGGTGAGGTCCTAGCATCTCCTGAATATTTCTTGTAGAAGTATCACCCCCAAAATAAATGGTATTCCCCCAAAATAAATGCTCCAAATATTTAAAATATTTGATGATGTAATCTAATTAAATAAACAACCATATTTCAGGAAAACAGTTTGCAGTTGCTTGCAGTTGTTCTTTGTTTCTAAGGAATCACTTTTTGTGTATTTTGTTTGAGTTTGAAGAGGGGGCTTGAGATGGAGGGACACACCTGGCAAGCAGTGCTCAGGGATTATTCCTGGCTCTGTGCTTAGGGATTACTTCTGGGGTGGGGGGTGGGGGTCTTAGTGTACCACATCGGTTTCACTATAGAAACCAGGTCAACCACATGTAGGACAAGAGCCCTACCCACTGTATTATCTCTCAGTCCCAGGAATCAACTTTTTAGAGGTCTTGATAGGGCCCCAGGATGTGACTCAGTTACAGACTATCCACATGCCTAGTGGAGCCCCCACGGCACTCCCAGCATTCGTGATCCCCAGTGGCACAGAGAGAACATTCTATATCAGCCCCTCTCCTCTGACTTCATTCAGCTTGATGAACTCTATACCTGGCCACAGAGGGACACATTGGCGATTTCATGTTTTCTTATAGCGGTTTAGTAGTCCATTGAGTATATGAAATACCAATTTCTTTATTCAGTCATCTGTTCTTGGACACTTGGGCTGTTTCCAGACTTTGACTTGATGATTAGTGCTGCAACATTTTTGCACTTGTAGAAGAAATGATGGCTGAAATAAAAAGGCACCCAGACTGGAAGAAGATGTTACTCAGCTCAAAAAGGGTTAATACCCAGCATACAAAGCACTTATTAAGCTTAACAACAACAAACAAACAAACAGCCCCCTCAAAAATGGAGAGATAACTGAACACTTCTGTAAAGAGGACAGACAGATGTTATCTCACACCAGTGAGATTAGCATGTATTATAAAGAACTAAAGCAATCAGAGTTGGTGAGGATGTGGGGGAAAGTAACCCTCATCCATTGTTGGTGGGTCTGTCGACAAGTCTGGCCTATTTGAAAAACCGTATGGACTCTTTCAAAAGACATGATGGGGTAATAACAAATACCCAAAGGCAATAAAAACTGAGAGCTTGAGAACTGGTCTTGGCTAGGAAGCTTATGGGGTCTGTAGGGATAAGACAGGGAGGAGGACACTGCAACAATGAGGGATGGAAGTGGCCTTTCTGGAGCAGGAGGTGCAGGTAGATGGGAAAGTGTTACGCATGAAACCCTCTCAGTAACAGTATTGTAAGTCACAGTGCGTACTTTTTTTAAGTGCCTGTCATAGATAGGCTAAGGGGTGGGGAAATGTAACTGGAGACATTGGTGGAGGGAAGCGGGCACTGGAAATGGTAATTGGTGTTGGAACATTATATGCCTGAAATTCAACCAGGAGTAACTTTATAAATCACAATAGCTCAATAAAAACTTAAAGCAAACAAAAACACTAAGAATTGAGCTTCCATATGACCCAAGAATTCCACTTCTTGACATTTACTATTTTGAAAAGACATTTGCATGCTTCTGTTCATGGTTAAACTTGGGTCTTGGTTTCTGTTTCCTTCATTGTCTATCCCTAAGGTGATCCTCCCAGTTCTAATATTTTATGATTGTGGGTGATAAATCAGCAACATTGCCAAGTGCTTATTTAGAATTATTCTGCTCTTCTTTTTTATTTTTAAATTTTATTTTCATAAGGTTGTTCACATTAATTGATTACATTCAATATCTCAACACCAATCCCACCACCATTCGTTACACCTTCCCACCACCATTATTTCAAATTTTCCCATCAATGTTCAAACCTGCCTGCCAGGTTCTAGATAATTTATTTCTATTGCTCATTATGAATATCCTGAGAGATTACGCACTCCTGGATTTCTAAATATGTAAATGATCGGGGTCCAGAGACATCTCTGTAGGGAGCTAATCCATTTTGAGATTCATCTGTGAGTCTCTGGATCAAGGCTGGTGATGCACTTAAATATGGCCAAGAGGCAGTTCATAGGTGTGACAGCCAAGACTCCGAAGGGGTGGGAAGACGGGAAGGGACAAACTGCTCCCACTGCCATGTGGCCTGGTGTCTTCAGACCCTGTTCCCATACCTGAGTTTTTCTTCTGAAAGTTTGTGGCCACTGGGAGTTCATCTGGAGTGGCCGAAGAGGGGACACCTACTCCATCTGAGAAGAAAGGTATCGATTTGGCACGAGGTCCAGAGAGATATCCACGAGCTGCTACCTTCTGGCATTCACTGCTGAGTCTTGTTCTGGTCTCTTTCAAAGAACTGATTCAAGTGGACAGCAACTTTGGTGAAGGGGTGGAGGTTGGGAAAGGAAGATCCAATTTTGTAAGTCCAATTTTTTTAACCTAATTATTTGGACCCAGAAATGCCTCTCAACGCCTCTTTTTGTAAACCACAACACCCAAAAGAAGAGAGAGAACAAAAGGGAATACCCTGCCACAGAGGCAGGGTGGGATGAGGGGATTGGGGGTGGGAGGCAACTGGGACCCGTGATGGTGGAAAATGGACACTGGTGGAGGGATGGGTGTTTGATCATTGTACAATTGAAACCCAAGCACAAAAATTTGTAAATCTTCCACTGTACCTCATGGTGTTTCACTAACAAAAATTTTTTAAAAATGTAAATGATGGAGAATGGGCACTGGTGGAGAGATGGGTACTGGATCATTGTATAACTGAAACCCAAGCACAAAAATTTGTAAGTCTAAAAAAAACCTAATGTGTTGCTGTTCCTGATTTTGGGGCCACCTGTGTTGGTGCTCAGGATTTACTCCAACTCTGCACTCAGGGATCACCCCTGACAGAGCTAGGTGGATCATACGTGGTGCTAGAGATCAAGCAGTTTAACCACATGCAAAGCAAGAGCCTTACCCACTGTGCTATCTCTTGGACCCCAATTCGATGGTTTAAAAATATATATGTATACTTAAATACTTATATATGGGCTGGAGTGATAGCACAGCGGGTAGGATGCTTGCCTTGCACGCAGCCGACCTGGGCCGACCCCAGTTCAATTCCTCCGCCCTTCTTGGAGAGCCTGGCAAGCTACTGAGAGTATAACGCCGCACAGCAAAGCCTGGCAAGCTAACCATGATGTATTCGATATGCCAAAAAACAGTAACAAGTCTCACATGGAGACGTTACTGGTGCTTGCTCGAGCAAGTCAATGAACAACAGGATGACAGTGCTATAGTACTATATTAGCTACCGAGAGTATCTTGCCCACATGGCAAAGCCTGGCAAGCTAACCGTGATGTATTCATGCCAAACACAGTAACAAGTCTCACAATGGAGATGTTACTGGGCTCGCTCGAGCAAATCGATGAACTATGGGAGGACAGTGCTACAGTGCTATTTATTTATATTTACATATATAAGTTCAATATTCTATATTAAAATATAAGATATTAGATAATCTCATCATCGGCCACCATCCAGATTGTACATCCTTTTCTCCCGGAAGGAATCATAACATGACACTCACCATAACCATGCCACTGGACCCCACTCTAGACTGTTTCACTTGGGGTGTCGCAGAAGGGAACGGGTGAGACCCCGTCCCGCCCCAAGGGACCTAGCCCCAGCAGCCGTAAACCTCCAGAACCCAGCTGCTGTTATGCTCATGGCCGCTCTCCACATGCTCAGGCTGAGCCTCACCCGTTAGTGAATCTATTCCTGAATATTTCAAACCACACACCCTACCCATACTCCAAGATTACTGCACCACACTTGATAGGATTCAAAGTAGGAGGCAACCAATCTTAGAGGGAAATACACATTTTTTACATATATATGTGTGTGTGTGTATATATATATACACACACACACACACACACACACATATATATGTGTATATATATAAACACACAAGGCTTAAGCTTTAACAACATGTTAGTGATCTCTTATAGAAGGGCTTTAGCCTCTGGGTGAAATACAACAATCTCCATACTCTTTTCTCTAAGGATACTTTTTTTGTAGCATTTTCAGCAGCTTTTCATAACAAACAATACAAAATATATTATTTTGGTTCTGCTTTGGGCAGGGATTGAGGTTCGGGATGGAAACATCCCAAATATGGTGGTGGGAAGGTATGATGGTGGTGGGAATGGTGTTTGAATATTAAATTTAATATAAATATTGTGAACTACTTTAAAAAAATTTAAAAAATAGTTCTTCCCCAAAATACCCAAAACTAAAATATAAGATATTTATTAAAAGATATGTTTGGTTAAAAATAAGATATTTTAAATATAAAACAAATTTTATATAATATATAAATTCAATATTTTATACTAAAATATTTCTATGTATAAGTTGTAGAAAAATGAAATAGTGGAATTCTGAAGGACACTGATCTTTCAACTAAAATATTAGAAAGGCAAAGGGCAAAATAATAATTGTGGAAATCGGTACAGCAGCTCTTTCCCAAATGTCACTCTGCAGTCTCCTATGTAAAGGGCCTCAGGGTGACCCAACGGGGACCATTCTCTGAGAATACACTGGCACTGCTGGTTGCAGGTGACATTTTGGTTATTAATGAACTGAAGAACAGAAATGTAGAGAATGCAATTGGAGACAGTTATCTGGAGAGTTTATATGTACATAATACACAAGGTGACCAGCTCAGCACTCACAGGGGTCAAGGTTAAAGCAACCATGTTTTGCATAAAACGGCTGAGAAAATTTTTCTCATTTACAAGCAGTCATTTCTGGCCTTTTTCCCTGAGCAGGATGACTATAATTGATACTTGAGAAATAGGTAAATAGAAGACAGGACACTCGCCTCAACAAATAGCAATTTTATTCCTGTACAGAGGAGTATAAGATATTCTGTAGATAATGTGTTGGCCATCATTATAAGTATGAAAATATATTAGGCAATTATACTCTTTAAATAGAAATACTAATGAAGTTCTTCATTCACAGAGATTGGTTAACAATATTGTGGGTAGATACTATGGTATGAAAAAATAGATTAATCTACTGCCATTTTAAATAAACATATCTTCAGCAAAAGAGTACATGGTAGTAAAAATATAAAAGTGCTCTATTACAGAACATAAGTTCAGTTGCTGTATTTATTTACATGATTTAAGCTTTACACAAGTCAAGGAACCGTCAGATGAATGTCCATGGACAAGAGCATCAGTCACTGACAATCTTTATACCCGACGTGTAGGGTCGGGAGCAATTCCCACTCAAAATGTATTTGCTGAACGACTGTTGAGCTTTGTGTTAATTTCTCCCAGGTAGGAGAGGAGGGATGAAAGATTGGGTCCTCGTCCTTGCAAAAGTGATAAGCCAAGGAGGAGCCCAGCACAGGGGAACAGAGCTCAGCAACTGTCAGGTGAAAGGTCTGGTGCCAGGCAAGCGGGTCCTTGCCACCCGGACCAGAGCAGGAGGTGGTGCCTTTGAAGGCTACACATGCACCCCCGCTGACCTGCACACACCTTCAGGCTCCGCTAGACTCCCACCAGCATGATTACATGTGCTCCTTTCTTGTTGAATTATTTATCTACATACTCAGCTATTAAAATACAACATTCCCAGCCCCAAGAAAACTTGTTTTTTGTATGAAGATGGTAATCCTGGAAAGAAATGATTTAAGGCAAATATCAACCACAACTACCCTTGACTTGTGAATATTCTAGAAGGGACATAACACATTTGTCGATCTTCACTGTTTGGAAGAACTTATTTTGGCATCTTATATAAGATCATTTCATTGGCACATAGGTTATGAAAATAATCTTTGGTAAATCTGTTAATAGATCTCTTATTTTCATTACATAAGCCTCCACCTTAGGAACATTCACCCACAATTTCCTCATTTCTTGGGCGTCTCTGTACAGACACTTAAAAAAACCAAAATTCCTTTCTTGCGGTTGCATACATTTATTTCTGGGGAGCCTCCCTATAAGTCAAGAGGATCCTTTTATTTAGAAATATTTCTATTGCTGGAAACATTTTTAGAACAGGACGAATTTTTGCTGTTATGGCTATATCAAACATTACCCGGCATTTTAACTAAAAAGACCAAACATTTTCAAAGGCATCAACCACTTTAAGAATCAAAGTGTGTCTGGAAACTCCATCTTCAGTGAATTTATAAAACTAGCGATTCAATTCATTTTGGTAAATCATCTGACTAATGTAGTCAAAGTGAACCTCCAAAAAATGATATGTCCTAATGAAAAGATGTGACATTTTCATAGGACAGTCTAGACACAAGGAATGCCATTTTCTTTTTCTCCTGACATCTTGCACAATCCTTCTTTTCAAATATTTTCCTCTTTTGGTATCATTTTGCTTGTTTTCCATAGTCTTGGTTTACATATTTTACTTTTCTATTAAACATTCTCTGAATATTTTCATGTGATGAATGTCTTCATGTGATTCAAAGTCTTGGGTTAAAAGTACTCAGAAATGTACCAGTGCCTTTGGGCTAATAATGATATTTTCCACTATGATTCTACCCTCGTTTCCCTCCCCCCCCCCCCCCACATTCACTCTATTCTTTAACTGTGAACTTGTTGAAGGAGGATCTGATTCTTTTTCCACTGTCTTGATAGGTCAATTACTTTCAGTTTTTCAATAAAATGGAACCTGGAAAATCCTTGAACCACTACCTCAAACAAACAAATGGTTAACTATTGTTTTACTAGATGGACTTGGATTGGACGCAAGTTAGAGAGTAAAACTCCAGAACAGCACTGAGTTGGATCTCAGTCATGCCACCCATCAAACAAATCAGGCTGATTTATAATTTCAGGAATCTAACCAGAAAAAAATAATCAGAAAGTTAAGAAAATGAGAAGTTGATATATGGCTGATCATTTTATTGCAAGAATTATTGGGAGTGCTTATCATTATAGGAAACTGGATCCTGTTAATATAAGAAACATTAAGGGAAGAGAATTGGAGTATGAAGTAAAACATATAAGGCCTATTTTTGTATTGACGAACAGCTGTTTAGTGATCTAATACTACGGGTTTTTTTTTCCATGTTGCTTGGGGATTCATTTTAAGAGTTGATAACAAAATCAGTGAAAGACTGTTCCCAAATGTCCGAGTGCTAGAAAGACATTGCACTATTTAAAAATGACCATTTCTTTTTCTAATATGAAGCCAGAAAAGTTTATAAAAATACCAATGGGTCCATAGGAGATAAAATCAACAGAAAAGAAAGTCATATTTGTCTAGGAAAGCAAATATCTTCAAAATGGAAAAGGGGGGGTCAGGGATGTAGCTCAGTGATAGGGAAGTTGCCTTTTATGTGTGAGGCCCTGGGTTTAATCCCCTGTACTGCAAAAGTAAAACAAAAAAAAACAAAAAACCCCAAAACCAACATCAGTAAACATCATTGTAAATCAGAGATAACTGAAATGAAAGAAAAGGACAAGTGAAAAAGTGGACTCAGAAATATTAAGGAATGGTGACTGAGTTAGGGGAAATGTGTATAAGCCCAGATAGAGAGATGAGTCTTTGAAAAATCTGATTCAAGAGCTGAGAAGTTTGCTCTAACCCAGAAAACAACGGAATGATAACACAAAATTGATTTAATGAGTAGAGATTAAAGGAGTTAATTATAAAGAACCTGGATGAATTATTATTAAGATGCAAGACAGGACTCTCCCAAGATTTGATAGCTCAAGAGCACTTTGAAGCCCTGATGATTAGTGTGTTCACACAGGTGCACACACAGGAAGCCCACCATGGCAGGAAATGGGTGTTTACCAAGTCCTAGGCTGTGATGAGATGAAATTAAAATCCAACCAATCAAGCTGAATGTCAAGGAAACTTTCTTTTTCCTCCTAAATTTAATAAATAAATCAATTATGTATTTAGTGTGTGGCAGTAGAGAGAAGATAGTGAAATATTTGTTGCTAAGGAGATTTAAAATTAGACAGGTGGAGGGTAGAATTTAATATTTCCTGGACTAGACTAAAAAGAACATACAATTTTCCCATGTCATTTCCATTTTCACAGCTCTGATTCCACTCCAGATAGACCAGGGTATGCCAGCATTATTTACCATTGCAGATGTGTAGATTTTTATGGTTTTCATTCCTGGTGTGTGCAATAAATTGTTCTCTCTCCTAGAATCATCTGCCTGTAATTGCAGCAGCAGCTGCACTGTGGGAGAGGTTTTGGGTTGCTGGCCTGGACTCCTTAGTTATTTATTTGATTGTTTTGGGGTAACACCCGGCAGTGCTCGGGGCTTACTGTGCTCAGGGATCACTCTTGGCAGGCTTGCAGAACCATATGGGGTGCTGAGGATCGAAACTTGTTCAGCGTGTGCAAGGAAAGTGCCCTACCAGCTGTACTATTGCTCTGGCTCCGGGATTCCTTGGTTATTACACTGCTGAGTCCCTTTTCAAGCTCGACTGGAAATAAAGACTATAACCCTAACTTTATGGTGAGGACGCATTCTCTTTGTATTACAAAACATATCATTTCTAGGATGCCATCAAGCAGGTTGTAGGCTTTTCCTAAAAGTTTATAGAATCAATGAAAAGCCAAAAATGAATTTGTCTTTCTATGTATTAATATGCACTGAGCCATGTTCATTCAAAATTATATTTACAAATGTAGGAAAAGTTATTTCTAATTGACAGCACACCGCATAAATCTCCCTAGTGATATGCTTGCCACATTTACAAACATGTCATTCCTTTCCATTTTCAAAAGATCTACCTGGTTCCCTGAGACAGAATAAGAGTCTAATCCTGCTGTTTCACAAGGGTGCTCAGCACTGTGAAAACTTAGAACCTTCTTCTTCACATCCAACCTTGCAAAGTTTTTTTTAACTTTGTTTTTAAATTTCAAATAGTCCTAGGAAAAATTTCCAGTTTGAAAATAGGTTTATATAACTAGCTCAGGTATATTTAATGCTATGCCAGTCACACCCGTTATATTACATATGGGACTTTGTGAGAAGTAGCAAAATTATGTATTTTTAAAAGAAATGTACCCTCCCTGCAAATGTGCAGCTATGTAACCAACAAATATGATGTCTACTTAAGTCTGGAGAGAGAGAGAGAGAGAGAGAGAGAGAGAGAGAGAGAGAGAGAGAGAGAGAGAGAGAGAGAGAGAAGCATATTTTCTCATGTAACCAGGAGGATTCCACAGTACAGATGCTTTTTCAAATTTTTCCCAGGGAGTCTTCAGGACTGAACCTCAAGGAATCAATGTCCTCATTTTACCTCATTGAAATATTTTATAGGATCACTGTCACTGTCACTATCCTCCCATGGTTCATCGATTTTCTTGAGCAGGCCCAGTAACGTCTCCAGTGTGAGACTTTGCTGTTACTGTGTTTGGCATATCAAATACATCATGGGTAGCTTGCCAGGCTTTGCTGTGCGGGCGAGATACTCTTGGCAGCTTGCCAGGCTCTCCGAGAGGGGGGGAGGAATCAAACCCAGGTCGGCCATGTTGGCTGCGTGCAAGGCAAACACCCTACCCACTGTGCTATTGCTCTAGCCCTGTTATAGCATAAACAGGTATAAATATTGCAGAGAAACCTGGTAGAGTGCCTTTTACATTAAACAAAACAGAGTAACAACTTCATATTTTGACCTTGACCATTCACTAGAAGTCTTTTGGAAAGTTTTCCACTAGACACCACCGAGGTTTGTGTTTGCTGCCTGTCTTTGAAATGAGAGAGATGTGATATTTATGGACAGGCCTATGAAAATGTTGATATTAGGTCCTTGGATCCAGAGTACAATCTGCCACCAGACTCTCTTTAAATGGGAAAACTGAATCTGTTCATCTCCATGTGGACTCTTCCAGGAACACAGCCCCATGGAAGATGCAGTGCATGTCCCTGTCCCACACTGACTTGATAGGGTGGATATATAGGGTGATGTCACGCTCTGAACACAGGGAATCATCTCCTTTTATTATGGTTGGCACGTGCAGTATGTTCCCAGTCAAGAGCACAGGAAGTACTGTTCTTAATAATTCCTCCCTTTGATTTGGATCCTTCTCTCTGAGTCCTCAGCCCTGCAGCTGGGCTTACATGCAGTCCCTAAACTCACCATTTTGGCTTAAACTCTGGCAGGAGAAAGGGGGCGAAATAGTTTAGGCACAGCCACCTTTTAGATCTGGTGCTGGGTGACTTTCCAGGCACCATTTCCCCATTCATTTGATGGCAATTCTATTTGTATCTATTTGTATTTGTATCAGATAGCATCGAATACCCAGAATTACAGAGCAGCACTGCAGCCAAGTCAGCCATACTCTTAACTCTCTCCAGCCCTGCCTTACCATTCCAGAAATTTCACAAGTAAAGACTGTGGCCCAAGGGATCTCCCCTGAAACCACTGCCACAGATATCTGACTTGTAGTCCTAGCATGGAGGCTGAATTAGCTTATGTAGATCAATCCATGAACACTTTGGTGTGGAAAAAAAATAGACCTTATGTAATGCTTAATATTCAACAGTATGAAAAAATACATATTTACAGAAGAAACTACAAAATACAACTATATACAATAATATCTGTTACCTTTAAATTACATAAATTCTTAAAAATTCTCCAGATTAATAAATTATACATAGTATCAACAGAAATTGCTGGCACCTATGTAAGGCATGGAGCAAGGGCTTTTGTTTGTATGTTTTAAAATCATACAGAGTAGATTTTTTTCCTCCAGGAGAATCTTCAGGTACATTCTCAGTGCCTTGAGTAGCCCATGTCTGAAAGGAAAGAAGGACACTGTAATTAGAGAATATGTGAGCATTTGTTTTTGTTGATGAAAATTACAAATAGGAAGGACTAGCAGGGGCTGTGGAGACAGTAGGGTAGGTAAAACACTTGCCTTGCACGAGGTCAACCTGGGTTCAATCCCTGGCATCCCATATGTCCCCCCAAGCACTGCCAGGAGTTAATTCCTGAGTGCAGAGCCAGAGTAACCCCTGAGCATTACTTGGTGTGGCTCCCCAAAATAAAAACAAAAAAATGACAAAGGCTGAATTTGATTTAGGTTGCTCTCCCATCCCATTATGTTGAAAGGAACAGAGGACTAGAATTAGTCGGGCCAGAGATTTTATTCTACCCTCTCTGGTTTTAGATTTGGGAGGAGATGGCTTTGAGCTACCTCTGGTGTTTACCCTGTGCTCAGGGATCACTCCTGTCAGTACTCAGGGAACTGTATGTAGAACCAGGAATTGAATTGGGGTAGTTTGTATATAAGGCAAGTGCCTTAACCCCTATACTACATCTCTGGCCCCTATTCCCTCCAGTTGGAAAGCAGAAATACAGTAACTCACTCAATATCATACAGCTTGATTATGCGAGTTATTTCCAGGGTTTAGGCCTGCTTGCTGGTTTCCCTTTTCTGGACTATAGTTAGCTTCTTTCAGAAGCATTCAGGATTACTCTAAAAATAGACTCTAAAACAAGCCAAGACAAAGGAACATCTAAAATTCCCCAGAGTCTAAATCTGACAGGCAATAACTTTAATTTACTACACAGATAGCTTAGGGGGTAATTAATTATAACAAAAAGTTATGCTATTAAGAAAAGGATTCATTTAAATAGCAATCTCTTATCTATTTGTGTTTTACAGATTATTAACTCTGTAACACAATGACTAGGCAGGCAGGCAGAGGGGGTATAGAGAACTAAATGCAAGTTAGGAGATGCTGAGAATTGAAGATCACTTAGAAATGGAGATAGTGGGTCAGAGAGATAGTACAGAGACTAAGGCAACTGGCCCAGGTTCAATCCCAGCCACATCAAAAAAGAATTTTAAAAAAGAAATGGAGGGAATGGAATGATAGTACAGTGGGTACAGCCTTTACATCGCATGCGGCTAGCTGACCCAGGTTCAATGACTGGCACCCTATGGTCCCCTGAGCCTCCCAGGAGTAATTCCTGAGCACAAAGCCAAGAGTAATCCCTGAACACTGCCAGGTGTGCCCCCAAAACAACGAAACAAAAAAAGAAATGGAGATAAAAGACGAAGCATGTGAAGGCCCCTTCCCACCCACCCACCCACCCAATCCTCTAGCCAACATCTTAGCTGCAACCTCATGAGGCTCTGAGCCAAAATCACCGAGTTATGCATCTGTCAAATTCCTGAACAAGAGAAACTGTGAGAGGTAAGAAGTGTGATGCTAAACTGAAGAGATATAATGGGATATATAATATAATGAGATGTCAACTTTATATATGGGATATATAATAGGATATATATGGGATATATAATGGGATACATATGGGATATATAATGGGATACATAATGGGATGTCAACATTATATTATATAATATATAATATAATGGGGCAACATTATATTATATAATATATAATATAATGGGATGTCAACTTTGAAGTCAGCCTTTGTAATGAAAGTAGCCTAACAATGGAGTCTTAACAATGATTCAGAGTGGAAAAGGGCATCTCAAGGTCACATCCAGTGATGGTCAGGGCTTACTCTTTACTCTGTGCTCAGGGATCACTCTAGTTAGGCTTGGGGGACCATATGTGGTGCAGCAGGATTAACCCTGGGTCACCCACATGCAAGGCAAGAGCCTTTCCTGCTGTATTATCTCTATTGTCCTTGGTAAATATGTTTTTTCAAATCTTCCTTCACCCCATATCATCCCATATACTGTTATAATTTTATTTGCATTATATATTATTATATAATTATTATATATTATTATATATTATAATATATAATTATATATTATATATTATTATATATTATTATATAATATTATATAATATATATTATATATTATTATATATTCTTAATTGTAAGAATATCCATGTTATGATAATATTCTCAAAAATATCATCCACAATCTATTTCATGAAGGCATTGTGGTGTATTTAGTTCTCCACTAGTAAGCATTCATGCTTTTCTCACTCAAACTTGTAGCTATGAAAAGTTTCATGCATAAAGCTTTCTTAGTAACAAAGTATGAACATATTAACAATCTTGATATATATGGCCAAATTATCCCATAAAGGGATTGTGCAGTATAAACATCTAGTTGTTATTTCAAAGCATCTTTCCTGCTATGGAGAATTTTGGGTGGAAAAGAAATGGTAATAATTTCTCCCTAATAGTTCTTCTTCCACTTGGAGTCAGCGATCATCTGTTGGCATCCCCCTCTATCTGCCTCTTTTCATAGTAGTCCTGCTCAGTGGTGGCCTTTTCTTAAGCCTTTGGGTAGAGGACAAGATGGACAATTCATATGGAAAGAGTGACTGTTATTTCATGATTTCCAGATCAAACCTATCTCTGTCACTGAACCTGTATGTTAGTGAAGTAGGCTCTTACCTCTGTGATACTCTGGATTCACATTTTCGTAGATTGGAAATAAGGGATTTTCTTGTTCACTCCGTAACTTCCGTGCTCTGAGGACATCTCTTACACACTGATGTAGGTACACATACTGACACTAGGAGAAAGGAGAGGCATGTTACAGGAAGGCAAATTCCTAAGCATGCGAAAGAGAAGGGACTCTCACAGAATATCCACAGTGATTCTAGACAGTTAGCAAATTTCTTGACTATCTCTTTACTCATGGATTCTAGACTGGAAGAGTGACTGCTTTCTATTACCACTAAGAAGAGCAGAATGATGATGATGGGCACAGAGATGGTGTTTCTTTATGCTTATTTACATGCAAGCATATTTATAGAGTGTATTTCATGAATGTCTAGGACTGTCTGGCACCTAGGAAATTTTCTACAAATATTTATCAAATAGATGAATGAATTCCTAGCACTGCTGTGCATTTTATAGAAATCATTTCACTTGGTTATTTTAGAACTTAGTGGACCTAATCCTCCATGTTGATGGAGACTGGGAGAAGTTAACTCATATCTCCAAGGTCATACAGCTAACAGATAAGGCCCTTGATTTAAATGTGGGTATGTGACTGGTAGTTTTTACTATACTAGCCTTCAGTGGGGCTGGAGTGATAGCACAGTGGGTAGGGCATTTGCCTTGCACACGGCTGACCTAGCCGACCCGAGTTTGATTCCTCCACCCCTCTCAGAGAGCCCGGCAAGCTACCAAGAGTATCTTGCCCACACGGCAAAGCCTGGCAAGCTACCCCTGACATATTCAATATGCCAAACACAGTAACAACAAGTCTAACAATGGAGACATTACTGGGCCCTCTCAAGCAAATCGATGAACAACGGGAGGATAGTGCTAGTGCTACTGCTAATAGCCTTCAGTGAATCCTAATTTAAGTGGAGTATTGTTGAGACAATTACATCCTCTGCTGTTTTGTTCTCTTTTGGGGAAAGTCTAGTGAGGTACAATAGACCCTACTGGACTATCAATTCTTGTGGATCAAAGCCAGGATCTCAACTATCTTGGTTTTCTCAGCATCTGAGTCTAGCATATCAACGACTCTCAAAGCTGCTGGCTAACTGCAAAGAAGTTTGCATGATGGGAATAGACCCACTTGTCACTATGTGGGAACTACTTTCCAAACAGAAACTTTGTTTGAAAGTTTGTTTGGAAGTTGGAAGAGGCAGTTTTTGAGAGACCATAAAGACATCACAAAGACCTCCAACAACAGAAGCTCAGACATAGGCAGCCAAACATGTGTTTGGACCTTCTTCCTTATTGCCAGCTGAGCCGTCTAACAAAGAAATGGACCTGGTATTAATGGAAATGGATATCCTTTGTGTTTGGTTTTGGGTTCCCTCCATATCAGAGCCCAGGGAAAAGGAAGAATGGGAAGAGAGCACAGTATCATGTAAGGGAAAAGGACTCTAAGTTTGTCTCCAGCTGGCCTAAGCTTCTTGGATTTCAGTTTTACATTCTGGAAATCAAGGTCAGAGTTTCTTTCACAGCTTCTAGTGTTTGACCCCACTGAGTAGATACGAACATTGGTGTGGCTGTCAGATGATACTGAAAAACTGCCCTAGACCTTAGTTAGTCAGTGTGGTCCATCTTTAAGTATTTTAAGGCCTTGAGATACAAAGCAAGATGAGATTTTCTTTACCAGCAATCCTTTAAAATTGAACATGTGTTAAATTGTACTGGGCAGCACTAGGTATTGCCCTTGACTGGAAGCAAGGCTGATTGTCTACTAGGAGGACTTCAAAGTGAGGAGCTGGTATCCTTAGTTAGATTAGGATATTTCTAAAGACCATCAATCACAAGTGAGGACTCCACTGATATTATTAACTATGCTTTGTATTTCTACTAACATATGCTGTTGACTTGTTATTTGTGTTTTGACTATCTTGACCTTGAATATTTGATGAGGATATTATCCTGACAAAAGCTCCTAGTATGGGCAATCACTTTGTGTTGTTGTTTTAGGGTCACACCAGCCATGTGCAGGGGCTACTCCTAGCAGTGCTCTGGGGAACATGTGGTGCTGGGGCTCTAATCTGGTCTTCAGCAGGCAAAGCATATATATACATACACACGCTCAATATTCATATATATAAATATATATATATTCAAAACTGAGCTCTCTGACCCTAGACAGCCAGTCACTACTTGCCATTTTGAATCCTTATAGACTATCGCTTCTCTATTTTCTCCCAGCAAAAGCATGACTCATATTTTCAGCTCTACTTGAATGTTAAATTACTATGGGATTTTTGAATTCAGCTGTGAATTAACTCTATTATCTCTATGCTACACCTTATTAATAAATTATTTGACAATAATTCACCTTGGGCTTTCAAATTGGTTAATACTCATTTTTAATTTGCCTTGTCTTAAATATAAATTCTTTTCCCAGTAGTATGTCCCTTTGAAAATGGTGACTAAAACCTTCAGAATGTTAATGTGTTTCCCACTTTATTCTTAATGAAATGTAGGAAGTCTAAAACATGAGCTCAGATAGAAAAGATCTGTCTAGGTAACTTGTGAATCTTAATTTCATTCAATTTTCACTGAGTTATAGCATTAGACAGTATTTATAGAATTAAGGTAATAGCATTCCATGGTCTCTGAGTGCCCGGTTTAGCAGAGAAGCAGATACATAAGGTGATAACCAGAATGTAGAATTGTGTGTAAAGTCTTATTCATAAGAATGAGCCATCATGTTAACTTCGATGGGAGAAAACTATCAAATCAGATGACATTTGTAAGATTTGAGAAAAATCGGACATTACAAACTTCATAATTAATATGGTAGCACACTTGCATTCTGGAATCTAGTGTGAGCAATCTAGTGTGACTGAAATGGAGGGTGTGTGGATCATGGTAAACCATCAAGACAACCCTCAAATGGTAACTAAGATGCTTATTCCTATTACATCCTGCTGACTCCTCACAGGAGGATGAGACTGACAGAGTGTGACTGTCTTCTATTGTTCTTAAATGAGTTACTGTTTGAAAGTTGTTCTTTAACAATTTACTGTATTTTAAAACCCTGTCTTAAACCCTTTCATCAATTCCTCTTCGATATATTTATTAAAACTTGTGAAGACTTGTATTCCTTTGTAGAGCAAACAAATAGACTGATCTTAATGGATCTATCTCAATGGACTCAAAAAGGCAATAAAAGGCACCAGAATGTGCTTTTTGCTTTATTTCCTTTGACTCTGTTTTGGGTAACTCTTCTGCACTCAGGGACTGCAACAATAGTTCAGTTGGTAAGGGCACTTGTCTTGCACGTGGCTGATTCTGGTTCGATCACTGGCATCCCATATGGTTCCCTGAGAACTACCAGAAGCAATTCCTGAGTAACCATTGAGCATTGCTGGGTGTAGCCCCCAGATAACAAACAAACAAACAAACACTTCTGCACTCAGTCCCAGTGCCAAAGCCATGCATCTTTGGAATCGGGCTTCTGAGACTACAAAGAAGCCCTCCATGGACAAGGAGCTAAAGCAGGACAAACATCTGGATATTCTGTTTGGGATTCATTTGAAAGAGGAAATAAAAGGTAAGTGAAAATATTTTATTAAAAATATTTATTTCATGACGAGTAAAAGAAACAAAGTTGCTTCTGGCCCAGGAAGTGAAGCCACCCTTGGATTCAGCAGATCTTAAATCTTATGACATGAAACTGGATCAGTAAGTTGGGGTCAGTTATGAAAAGACTTGTACACAAGAATCATAATTAAATCAGTGTCACAGATTCTATCTTTTTTCCTCACTGATGTGTTTCTTATAAATTCTCACTCTCCTTGGCTCTTGGCCTGCTTCCAAATCTTAAAACTGTTCTCTATTTTTTTGTTTTTGTTCTTATTTTGGCACCACACCCCACAATAATCAGGGGTTACTCCAGGCTCTGTGCTCAGGGATAACTCCTGGTAATGCTCAGGGGACCAGATGGGATGTCAGAGATCCAACCTGGGTCGGCAAAATGAAAGGCAAATGCACTACCCACTGTATTATTGCTCTGGCCCTGGAAAGTTATTCTCTTTTAAATACATTTTGTGTTTGATGTTGAAACAGGTTCAGTTACAGACTGGTGCGTGGGAAGAGAGGAGAGCAAACAGCAGTCCCTCTGAAAAGACTCCTGAAAAGCTTATCAGACTCCTTTCTCCTCCTAACCCACTTCCTATTATTTCCTTCTAACTTGCTTTTCCAATCAGCCTTATGTAAGATAATAATCCCAACCTGAGAGCAAGGTAGTTTTGGGGAAGCAAGTCCACTATCTTTTTGGGTTGCCAGCCTGGGACAACACTGATTTTCCTCATATAAACTCTTGTCTCCTGAATACTGGCCTCTCAGGAGTGAGCATTCAGATTTGGGTTCATTAACAAGATGAAAGTTTGAACTTCATTTTATAACAATGAAGAGTTTTCTGAGATTTTTATGCAGAATTAGCAAGATAACTTTGACAGTGATAGTGGTGATGAAGAGTTGTCACAGCAGAAGATAGATGAGGCAGGAGACTCACTGGAAGGGTCAGGAGACTCACTGGAAGGATCAGGTTTAAGATAATTGATAAAGGTTGAGAAAGAAGGTGACAGTAGATAACACCTGGGACACAGGGTCCAAGAGATGGAACAAGGAGATGTCTGGTAGAACTGACAGGACTTAGGGACTGCTTAATGTGGGAGCCAAGGAAAAGAAATCAGATTCCTTGTGTTAGGGAGAAAGCTAGGTGTGTGCGGCCAGATAATTAAGACCTCTGACTGGTCCCTCATTTTATTGGACATAGATAGCAGAAATGGCTAAGGGGCAGGGATACGGTAATACAAGCTCAGGTTATTGTGTGTGGGTGCACTTGTTTTTCAGGTTGGGGTTGGTGCTATTGGTGCTATTGGGAGACTATGATTGAAATGATTACTATTGCTGCAGCTACTTTTTCCATTAAAGAATAAGCCTGCAGAGATGTAACTACGGGTGATGTAAAAAGAGTTGAAACACTGAAGACATCTGTTTTCTATGTGCTATATATACTTACTGTCCAGGAGAACCTGAAGCTAGTCGGATCTGCTGCAATGCTAGCTTGGACAAACAGATGGAAGGCAATGAGGGATAACAACATTGTGCTGAAACTGGAAGAAGCAAGTGCAGGAAGAGTGCTGTTATTTGTTTTTAGGACTGATAATGACTTTGGTTTTGTGTGGTTGGAGTTTGAAATCACTGTCTGAAGGCAGGAGCTTAGGTGAGTACTAGGGAAGGAGAATGTGATCTGAGAAATATGAACATGAAGCTTGCTGATGTCAAAGGATTATAGAAATGGAAGCAATTCTCCGTCATAAGCAATGTAAATGACTTTGGTGTCTGAAGGGATTGGAATCTGTTTTCTTTTTGTTTGTTCAGAGCCTGGCAAGCTACCCATGGTATATTCGATATGCCAAAAACAGTAACAATAACGGGTCTCATCCCTCTGACCCTGAAAGAGCCTCCAATATGGCATCATTGGGAAAGACAAGTAAGGAGAGGCTGCTAAAATCTCAGGGCTAGGACAAATGGAGATGTTATTGGCATCCACTCTAGTAAATCGATGAACAATGGGATGACAGTGATACAGTGATACAGTTTTTGTTTGTTGATCCCAGCCTCCAAGACAAATGGCTAGGACTTTCCCCATGGTATACATGAAAGAGGTTTTTTTTCTGTTGTGTTTGTGTGTGTGTGTGTGTGTGTGTGTGTGTATGTATTTCTGGACACTGAACCCAGGGCCTTATACCCAAAACAAGTGTTCTATACTCAAGATACCTCCCCAGATTTCCCCAGTGTATAATGCATTGACTAAGGCCATCCATGATTGAGGATCAGAGAGATAGTAGAGTAGGTAGGGTGTTTGCCTTGGATGCAACTGACATCGGTTTGATTCCAAAGCACCCATATCATTCTCTAAGTCCCACCAGGAGTGATTCCTTAGTACAGAGCCAGGAATAAGACCTGAGCACCACCAGATATAGTCCTGACACTACCCACCTGAAGAAAAAGGTGGACAACCAGTTCAGTGTCGGGACTTTCAAGGTCACTGAGAATGGTTTAAAATAACAAGTCTGCTGAAACATTCACATTCAGTTCTGTTTCTCCTCCAGTAACTCAGAGTCATTTCCCCTTGAATCAAACCCTTAACATGTGGGGAACTGGTAGGGGGTCTCTGTCTCCTGGCTGCAGTTCTTACCTCAGTCTGGACCATGTGCACTCTGTGAAGTCTCAGGTCATGCACTGCTCCATAAATGTCTACAGAGTCCTTGGAGTCTAGCTGCTGCAGGATTCGGTCCAGTGCGATAAATGTCCCTGTTCGGCCAACACCAGCACTGGGCAAAACAGCAAAAGAAAATTGATTCCTTTGTATTTATTAATGTAAAGTTTTATACGGGGGGGGGGGGGTGCTCCCAAGCAATGCTCAAGAGGCCTGGGGCCACTTGCTCTGACACTGTGACAATGGGTGATGGTTCAATGTTGGGTTTCAATGTGGTGCTGCCGGAGTCCTGTGGTACAGGGACCACCAGGGACACACTGGTGAGACTCTGGAAGCCAGGTGGTGCCGGGAATTGACCCTGGATCTGGTGCATGCAACCACAGGGGCAGCCCCCAGACCACGGCCTTTTGATTAAACTGGCTTTTCAGGACTGAGTCCAGAGACAAGACAAGCACAGCTTTCCTCTCCCCTTCTAGTTATGGGCAAATATTGGAGAATTCTTTCATGCTTACTTAAAGATGTATGTCAGGGCTCCAGCCTTTCACTTTCCTTCCTCCCTCCTTCCCTCACCCAGAAAAGCACTGCTCTGTACTCCATGTGTCATTTCCATATGGCTCTTTGTGGTTTTCCTACATATGTGGAAATCCACAAACAATATATTCATTTTATGTGTTCCCCAAATTGGCTGAAATAGTAAAATGTTTTATGTATCATTTGACCGACTTTTCTACTCGGCATTGTTTGTTTTCTGATTTGCTGAGGTTTTTACAAGTGGATGGAGTTGTTTTTAATGACCTCATAGAATTCATCAACTGTTCCTAAACCATCCAGTGCTCATCTATACCCTACTGATAGACAGTGAGATCATTTTTAGTTCTTTTCTTTTAAAAATAGTCTGGCTGTGAGCATCATTGTGCACATTTGGGAATTTCTCTGGGCTGATGTCTAGAAGCAGAAACAAAATTGCTGGATCATAGCTTATGAAGACCTTAGGCTTCACTTAAGATGTTCAACTCACTTCCCAAATTAATTTCTGTGTAGCTGGGGATTTTTGGGTACACACACACACACACACACACACACACACACACACACACATGCGCGTATTTGTCTAGGACCGGAGATACAGGTCAATGGGCTGAGCACCATCCCCAGCACTGCATGGTCCCCAAACACAGAGCCAGGATATCCTCCAAGTACCACTGGGTGTGACTCCCCCCCCCCAAAGAGCAGTCCTCCTGCAGTACTCAATGGAAATGTCATCTTCAAAAGCAGGAACCTCTGGTGCTTTGGATTCTTATTAAAAGCATCAGGGTTCCAATGACATATTAAAGCAGGCCACCTGGGGTGCTGGGCTGATTGGGAGAAAATGAGTGCATTTGACATTTCTCTTACTGTAGCAATTCCCTGCTCTCTGTTTATTAGTGCCATTTAGTTATGGCTATCAAAGTGTTGCTGCAAACATTAATTAGCTAAACGTCGAGAGAGAGAGAGAGAGAGAGAGAGAGAGAGACAGAGAGAGAGAGAGAGAGGGAGAGAGAGAGAGATGAGAATTAAATTATTAAATGTTGGGTATATGGATAAATACTTGGAAGCAAATAAATTTCAAGAGAACAAATATTTAAGAGCAAAATTAGGTGCCATGAGGATGAAGGCTCTTTGACCCGAAGGGTGATTTGGAGCAGGGATGCTGAAGGATGCCTGGGGTTCACTTAGGTGGATGAGAAAGAGAAGGCCATTTCAAGGAGTAGGAATAGCAAGAGGCAAGAATAGGCTTGTACAGTCTCCTTCCTGACAAGAGTGGGAGGTGAGTTTTGGGGAACTTTGAGTGGGGGGAAGATGGGAATAAAGACCTTGCATTTTATACTGTAAGAAAAAAGAGCAAGAGGAAGCATGAAGGGTGAGTGTGCAGGTCGGGGGGAGGCAGGAAATGAAGAATGTAGGAAAGGAGAACTTGTTGGAAAGGAGTGAGGCTGCGGAGGGTGTCAGAGCATCCTGTAGGGCTGGCTGGTTGGCAGACAACCCTCCATCCACCCACCAGACTCCCTAGGCTTCTTGCGTCTGTTCAGACCCTGGGCTGCCATTTCATTGGTTCAGGGTCACTGAGTACCTGCAGTGCACCACGGTGGGCCCAGCCCCGGGGCTTCTGTTGATGAAATCCCTTACAGTTCTCACAAACTGGATCAGGGACTGGGTGGTCTCTGGGACGCCGTGGTCTGGCCACACTGTGTAGTGGAAGTGGCGGATGACTCTGTGCATGTCGAGCTGTTCCTCCTGCAAGAGCAGAGAAGAGTAAGACTATGAATCCTGCAAGCAGCTGTGTGCCCAGCCTGTGGCCAGGCAGAAGTTCCCATGAGCCGGTGCCACAGACATGGAACCAGCCACCCAGGATTTGTGGGGGTCCTGCATCGTTCCAAGGATGGCGTGTGTGGTATGGAATCCCAAGCCACGGACATACACTGCATATCCTGAATTCCCGGATGGTCCACTCGGGTAGCACGGACTCGGAGAGCATCTGCAGGATGAGGTCACCATAGTAGAGAGAATCCTGGTCTGCTGGCCAGTAGTGGTCACACTTGACCTAGCGGAAGACAGAGAAGAATGGAGCCCAGAAACCTGACTCCTCTGGGAACCGGGCCTTTCCTTCCTCGAAATGTCATCCCCACTCGGATTCCAGGCTCAGCTGCAAAAGCCATAGGGCATCTGTTCGGTGGCTCAGGACCTGCGCTGACACCGGGCTGCGGAGAGCAGCCCTTGCCTGGGACTCATGCACTTTCCAGTGAGGGGTGAGGGAGGGTTTTTATTGCGACTTCGTTTTTATTTTTGCTGATTTCCTTAGCCTTTCAGACCTAGTTGCAGATAAGTCATGTGTCACCACTTCTGGTTCTTTCTGAAGAAGGATCTCTTATATATGTATTTTGATATCTCAACCTGTGTCTGGACCAAGTACCAGAAACAAAGTGGTTTAACCCTCCTCGGTTAGAGGTGTGAAGATTAGGAACAGGTGTGCATCCATGGTGAGTGCTTCCATGAGCCCCACCGGGTCCCCAAGTGAGTCATACTCTTAGAGCACTGCAACTCAAGAGGCTGAGCCCTAGAAGCACTATGCAAGCAGCACAGCAAAAGGAGTGTGAATGTCGGTGGGGCCCTCAGCTCAGTGTGAGAGCACCACAACCTCTGGCCAGCACCACAGCTGAGCAGTGTGTGGGCACCACAGCCAGGCCTGGGGGCTACCCTGGTCACTGTGACAACATGGCAACAATCAGGAAGGAAAGGAGAAAAAAAAGCCAAATGACTTAATTCACTATCAATGGCTCTCAGGCAACCTCTGTGTCTTTTGGAGATTCATTTTTAATGGTGGGTTAAATGATGGTGATTATTATTCTTTGGTTTGGAAGCCCCACTGGCGATGCTCAGGGCTACTCCCAGCAGGCTTGGATCCAGGTCTCCCGCCTGCAAAGCAAGCCCTCAGCTCCCTGCACCAGGGCTGAATTCAACCAGGTAGCAGAAACCAAAGTGAGGAAGACAAGAGGACTACGTACTCGGCCTTTCTCCACACACTGGGTCACCATGACAATGTTGTGGACATTCTGTTCCCACGCCATCTTCCAGAAGTCATCCTTGGTGCCAGGAAGAGGCCCTTGAGTCGCAATGTATTCCCTTCGGAAGTTGTTGCCCTGTGATGAATTTACAATATGGGGAGTGAGAAACAATGGGCCTTCTCTGAACTATAAACAAAGTGTGAGCTCTGCAGAGGAGAAGATACCGAGGCCTTTGCCAGGTCCCTGACTTGAGAAAAAGATACGAACATGAGTGTCAAGGCTGGGAACTGGCGAGACAAAGGCCGGAACCGTGGGCTATTGTTTAGGGCCCAACTTCCTTTTATGAAGTTGAGTCCACTCTAAAATGCCTGGGAAGATTCAAGCAAAGGTTTAGAAAATAGTGAGTGTGTGTGTGTGTGTGTGTGTGTGTGTGTGTGTGTGTGTGTACAGTCTGAGAGATAGTCTTCAATGTGGCACTTTTCCTATCAAATCTAGAAAAGCTTCATTCATTTTGGATCATTGACATTTGAAGGCTGTTGGTTAGGAGATGTCACAGAAAGGAAGAGAGGGCTGGGGAGATAATGCAGTGGGTAGAGTATTTACCTAGTACACAGCCAATCCAGGTTGGATCCTCTACACCCCTACGGTCCCCTAAGCCCTGCCAAGAGTGATCCCTGCATGCAGAGTCACGAGTAAGCCCTGAGCACTGCCAGGTATGACCCAGAAATCAACAAAGGAAAAAGAAAGGAAAAGCAATCTCTGTTTGGGAGTGTCTACCATGCCACAGGTCAGCCCTTCTTTCCTCTGAGCCCCCATCTATGAGTGAGGCTATTTCCATGCATCCCCTCATCCTTCCCTCCAGCCCCACAGAACGACTTGCAGCTCCTAGTGCAAGTTCATCCATTCCTTACCCCTCTCCCCAGCAGCCCCTTTTAGGACACTGTGGCTGTCTCATGCCTGCCCACTCAGGCGCGGTGTCTCCTCTGGCTAAGCCTTGTTTATCCTCTGGGTCTCAGCACTGGCCTATTCTGTGGAGCCTTCTGTTTCTCTCGGCCAGTGATCTTTCCCCCAAAGCTTCCAAGACTAGCTCCAGCCTCTTGCTGTCCAGAGAAATTCCCAGACTATCTCAGGGATCCCCTGAGAACCTGTGAAAAATGCAGAATCCTAAGTGCCCACCCCACCCCCATCCCCAGACCCTGCCGAGTGAGATGCTGCACTTCACCCAGACCCACCCTGATGAGGTAGATGTCTATGGAGGCTCTGCTCTGGCAGACTGCTCAGAGCAGCACCCCATCATTTCCCAACACCCCAGTTCTTCTGAGAGTTCCTTCAGAGTCAGCATTCTCTTGGCCTCTATCCCCGTACATAGCTCAGGGCTGGACTATGCAGAGCATTTAAGTATTTGTTAAGTGAATGGAGGATTATTGAGGCAAACATCTTAATTTTTTGTGGGGGGAGGGGGTTAATGGAAATGAAGGCCCTCGGGATGATGACATAAATTTTTCCAGCTCCCAGCATCAGCAAGATATGAGATTCAAACTCAGATCTCTCTGATCTTGTGGGTTTTTTTTCCCTTCTGTGAGATAGGAAGAAGTCAATAAGATACCTGCCAGAATCAGAGTCCAAAGGGCTAATAACACAGCCTTTGAGCTGCACCTGTGGTTTTCAGAACTCCACCTCACTTTGAATCACCTTCTCAGTGGGACAGCCTGAGCAAAGCAGCTTTCTCAGGGACTTCTAAACATGGCTTAGGACTACAGTAAGAAAAATGACCTTTGGAAATGCATCTGGGGGTATGGAGGTGGGGCTCAGGAGGTAGAGTTCGTGAGTTGCTACAAGCACTCCAACTGAACACCACCAGGCAAGGTCCCGAAACAACAAGGACCAATTAAAAGAAAAAAATCTTGGCCCAAATAGAGTCACTGTAAAAAAAATTTTTTTAAGGAGCAACAAAAAAGGAACTTCAAAGGGATTGAATCAGATACCCTGCATTTGGCGCCCATCAGACAAGGTCTTCTGAAAACTTTGTGTCCCCACACCTGGAAACATGGGGAGCATTTGCAGGAGGGGGATCTCTAGCGTGGTTACCCAGCCTTCACCGTGGGCACCGTGGCCTCGCCTAGCGGCTCACTTACAGGGATGTAGCTGGCGTTGATGTAGTCAGAGCACGGATCATCATCCACGTTGGAAAGCTTCACTCGAGACGCATCATCTGGAAGAAAATTGAGATTTATCACTTGAGTTTTTGGCTGGTTTTCTATTGTGGAAGAAATGTTTGGCCTTTGAACCACATCAGCTCTGATCCTCAGTAAGGGATGTAGTCTCTTCTTTATTTTGATATGAGGCTCAGACAAGATAACTAACTTGCCCTGGGGTGCACATGTAGCCCATAAACACACACACATAAAACAAGTCCAATGCCCTTTGAAGTCCCCTTGGTGCTTTTCTTGCAAAACTAGGATGCCTGCCCAGTGGAGTGGCTGGTTCCTTTTACTGCTGGACTAAAACAATTCAGAAAATGTCTCCTATTGCTTACCCGGTAGGGTAAGCATAATAAAAATATTTACAATAATTGCTAACTGGAGACTTTGTGAAGGAAATCCAAGTTGCATCTTGCTGTTGACCCTGTTGCCGTTCTCAGGCTTTCAAGGAGAAGCAACAGGACCCCAAGGTGAAATGTCAACAGCATGAAAGGCCCTACAAAACCAGAATTTAAACTGTATGACCCGTCAGGAGGAAGTACAACAACTCACAACTCATTCTTTTCTAAAGGCATTCAGAGCTGAATCTTTTTTTCCCAGTTATACCTTATATTTTTAGATGCTAGGAAAGAGAGAAATGCAAGAGGAAACCAGTATTTCACGTTGCAGTGAAACTCACAGGGCAATATATTGTTGTATCGATTCTTTCCTCTATTCTCTGGCAGAAGTGCGATATCACATGACTGGTTCCGACCCACATCTTTTAAGTCCTGTGAGCGACCAAAGTAAATTGCAAGTGGTGAAAATGAAACAGAATATGGTAAACCAGACAGTTCTTGAGATCTATAATAACATAAGAACAGGCACACTAGCAACTTTTTATGGAACAGCTGGTATTCAGTGCATCTTAACTGGAATGCCCACAGTAGTCTCACAGGAGAGAATCTTTCCTCCAGTTCATTTTTAAATTTGTCTTGGGGCCACATCCAGCTGTGCTCAGGGGATATTCCTGGCTCTGTGCTCAGGAGTGACTGCTAGTGGGACCATATGTAGAGTTGGGGATTCAAACTACAGTCAGTAGGATGCAAAGTAGAGTCTTAACTTTCGTCCTATCTCTCTGGTCCACTATATGCACTCTATGGATAAGGCTCAAATAGGATCACTTACTTGTCCCAGGTCACAAAGTTGGGAATCAAACCCCAAACTGAGGGACATCTCACCAAACCACACAATCTCTCAGTCAAGCAAATAACCAACTCAAAGAACCAACAGTAATTAGGTCTGCATTTAGGATTTGTTGCTACACTTTTATCATCAGATCCAGGGAGCAATTTGCTGGCTGTGCTGTTCTGAAGATGGCACTGACCTCAGAACCAATGAGCATATATGCAGCTGAGATCCTGAGCCCCATTAATTTTTGACTACCAAGTAAAGGTGGAAGGTGGGGAGATGGTGTTAAGGAGAGGGGGTGTTAAAACATTGTTTCTGCATTATACCTCATATTCCTTGGATAGAAGGTAGTTGGAGTCAGCCTGCAGCTTCATGAAGTGTCCTTCAAACTGGTGTATTTTTATAGGGCTAAAGTTAAAAAACAATGGGGAAAAAATTCAACTACCGAAGAGAAGAGAAAATGATGTCATCGATCTGAGTTGCATTTTCAAAGCAGATACTATAGAAAGGAATCTGTTCTTTCTCTTACCAAGAAGTTTTCCGGTTCCTGTGAAGGAAAGACAAAAGTAAAGTCCTCGTTAGCAAATGTCACATCAGACAACCAGCTCATCTTTTCATAAATGATGTGGAGTCACGTGTACTTCTTACCCCTTCTGGCCCAGGTTCAAGTGGACAGATAATGGTCGGTCCCTGCGGATGCTTAGGCGGGCTGAAGGCCGATCCCGGCCATGGCTGCAACATAAGGGTTGCATATTTTTATTATAAAATTTAAACCATCTCTCCCCATGTATGGTAAGACTGTGCCTATTTGTGCAAATATGGATTTCTCAGTTTGCCTGTAGATCTGCAGTCAGTCGGGATCTTGGAGAGGGGGTAGAGAGAGGAAGAACATCAAGAAGAAATAGATTTTTTCCCACTCTCTCAATAGCTGAATATTTGTCTTTTCTGGTTTTTGGCTACAGGTTAAAATCACTTCCCACACTCGCAATAAAACTTCCCTTAAAAAAAAACCCAGTAAACTTGAGTTGCAAGACAGAACTGCAAGAGAGGGCAAGGCGCCCACTAAAGGAAATTCCCTGAGGGAAAAGGCTGCGGCATCTGGGGCCACAAGCCCGTGGAGTTGCTTTGGTCCCTTCTTAAATTAGTGTGTGGAAACTGGCCACGAGATGATGATGTCAATCCTACATTTTAGCATATTTCAGGGAAGCATTTGGGCACAGAAATTGTAGGCATCTCTGTCTTCACAAGGTATCTGAAACACACACACACACACACACACATACACACACACACACACATTTTTTCCCTACAGGAAAAAACAACAGGTAAAGGAAAAATCCATCCACAGTAGTAGATAAAGAGGCTGAAAAAATGATTCATGGATTTAGGGTTTGACTGTATGGCACGTGTGTGTGTGTGTGTGTGTGTGTGTGTGTGTGTGTGTGTATGTGTGTGTGTGGTGTGGTGTGGTGAGGGTTGGAGGAAAAAGGTGATTTAACCTGGAGAAATGGAGCTCTTTTGCCTCCTTGAATTCCAAACTAAAGGGTATTTTCAATTTGCCTCTTTAACAGGGTGGGTTCACTTGCCAGAAGGGTCTCTGTACTCACCTTGATTTCTGCCGGCAGATGAATAAGGCGATGACAGCCACCAGCATGCCAATTAAGAACAGGCCAGCACTCACACCCTCGATGACACCAAACAAAGGCTCTGCAATAATCCAGATGGATGGAAAAAACCAGGTGGGAAAATGAGTGCTAAGACAGCAGTAAGAGGGCTACTGAAACTCTATCTCCCTTGGAATGTTATTACGGAAGAATTCAAAGGGCCCCACATGCCAGCATTTACCATCTACAGCCCAGGGGTGTGCAGCTGAGAAGATAAATCCTGGCTGCTACCCGCTAACAGCAGGTCAGCCGCTACCCTTTTGAAGTTAAGGGTGTTGTTCTTAGATAGAAACTTTGGACATCATTGATGCTTGTACATAAAGCTTAGGGCCCTTAGGAGAAAGGGCAGACATTTGCTATCGAAATAAATAAGCTTTCACCTGTATGAAGCAAGTTAAAACAGCAGCTGCAACTTAGGCAAATGCAGTGAGTTGTTGCCTTATTATAACAAAATCTGGGTTATTAATTACCTGGTATAATGTTGCCACTAGGAGTTTCTGAGTAGTTCTGTGTAGTTAAAAAATGTAACTTTTTTTTTACATAGCAGGGCTGGAGTGATAGCACAGCGGTAGGGTGTTTGCCTTGCGCATAGCCAGCCCGGCTGAGCCGGGTTCGATTTCTCTGCCCCTCTTGGAGAGCCTGGCAAGTTACCGAGAGTATCTCGCCTGCACGGCAAAGCCCGGCAAGCTACCTGTGACGTATTCAATATGCCAAACACAGTAACAACAAGTCTCAAAATGAAGACTTTATGGACCCGCTCGAGCAAAGCAATGAACAACCGGAGGACAGTGCTACTGTTTTTTTTTTTTTTTTGGAGGGAGGGTGGGGAAAGGCACACTGCCAATGCTCAGAGGTTACTCCTGGCTCTGGCTCTGTACTCAGGAATCAGTCCCTGCAATGCTTGGGGACTCTATGGGATGCTGAGTCATGCTGGGTCGAACCCAGGTCAGCTTCCTGCAAGGCAAACACCTTACCCACTATACTATCTCTCGAACTTCAGAGTAATCACTTTTAAAAATATTATTAAAATATAAGTCACATATCATACCACCAATTTAAACTGTCATTTTGTGAATTTAGCAGTTTTATAATGTTATCATCACCCTCCCCCACATCATCTCTACCCCTCAGCTGACTCCTCCTTCCATTCCCCTTGCAACCACTCATCTATTTTGGGTCTCCATAGACTTGTCTGTTCTGAACATTTTAAATAAATTCAATTATTAATTTGTGGTCTTTTGTGATTTGCTTTTTTTTCACTTAGTGTAATGATTTTAAGAGTCATTCATACTATAGAATTTATCAACAATTTTTTCTTTTTATGGCTAGGTAAACTTTATTGTGATATACCACAATTTGCTTATCCATTTTAGATATTTGGATGACCTCTTTTTTTATTATAAATAATGCTTCTATAAGCATCCATGTATAATTTGGGTACATAATGGGCATGGAGGTATTGTTATAGATGGAAACTCTAGGTTTAACCTTTTGAGGATCTGTAAAATTGTCTTCCAAAGTAGCAGTACCATTTTATATTCTCACAAACAATGTATAAGAGTTTCAGTTTCTTCATATTCTTGTTATTGTCCTTTTGATTACAGCTGAGTGGGTGTGAAGTAGTGTCTTGTGGTTTTAACTTGCTTTCCCCTCAAAACTAATATGGCGAATCATCTTTTCCTAGTTTATTGAATATTTGTTTTGTTTGGGGCCACACCTGGTGGTTTTCAGGGGCTAGTCCTGGCTCTCTGCTTGAAGGACAGTCCTGGCAATGCTTGAGACATGGAGTGCTGGGGAACAAGCCTGGGCCTCCTACATGCAGAGTTTGTGCTTGAACTATCTCTTTAGCCCATTATTGGTCAGTTGTTTATCTTCTTTATAAAGATGTTTCTTCACATTCTTTCATTATTATTATTATTGTTTTGGGGGCCATGCCCGGCCAAGCTTAGGGCTGACTCCTGGCTCTGAGCTCAGGGATCACGCCTGGCTAGGCTTGGGGGATCATATGGGATACCAGGGATTGAACCCCACCTGGGTAGGCCACATGCAGAACAAGCACCTACCCACTGTACTATCTCTCCAGCCCATATCATTTTTAGCAAATAGATCATTTGAAGATATTTCTCCCATTATGTTGGGGTTTTTTTTCCCCCTCACTTTCTTCATGGTTTCTTTGAAGGGCAATAGTTTTAAATTTTGGTTATGTCCAATTTATCTTTTTCCTTTTGTTGCTTATGTTAGGCTAAGAAATCATTCGCTAGACCCAAGGTTACAAAGATTTATTTCTATGTTTTCTTCAAAAAGATCTATTATTTTCATTTTAACATATAGGCCTCTGGAGTAGCTCATTTTTGAAGTTGTCTTTGGATTTGTATATTCAATGTTTCTTTTTAAAACTCATCAGATGAACACCATCATCTCCCTTTTAATGTGCTTAATATTCTTTTAAATATATATATATTTACTATCTTGCTTTAATAGGATTCTTTAAATTTCTGTTTTATAATAATATTCCAAGTAGGAAAGAAGAGTGTTTACAAAGCCCCTAATTAATGTTCCATTACAAGCAAACATCTAAATTCTCTTAACTGTGTTCTGATTCCTTTTTGGTTCCAAAAGTGGGAGATTGTCCCTATATTTGGCATCAATAGATGGGAGTGTTTGTGAAGCTGAGTCATCTTTTGTCATGCAGCATGAAAGACTATTTTAGCTATATAGAAGAACTTCCTGAGACCAACCAAGCATTGTAGAACGCTGGCTACCGGGAAAGGCTGGAGCAGACAATGGTGTCAAGGAACAATGTCCTGAAAAATGATGCTATTCTCAGCATGATGGAAATATGCAAGGTGGTGCACTACAGAAGTTAACTTAGGGTCTAGATGCTAAGTGCCAAACTCCCACTCTACAATCTTGGCTAGAGATCCTAACTCTTATCTAAAAGGGTACAGTGGGGATTTGAAAAAATATATGCTATGTGCAGGACTGGAGAAATGCCCCTTGCATGTGACCAGCCCTGGTACCATCATCCCTGGCACTACATATATTTCTCTGAGCACCACCAAGTGCGGTGCCCACTACCTCTCCACTACCTCACCACTTCTAAAAGAACAAGCAAACAAAGAAAAAACCAACCAAAACACAAATATTCTTTTAATGCTTAAAACAGCCTCCAGGGAGAAAGTGAGCAGTAAGTAACAATTAGCTGCTACTTCTCAGCCTTTCTCTCTAACACATTAGAGAAGGCTATTGCATACACTACAGAAAATCTTTTCAGTTAACTTTTGTCTTGGATTTTTTATTTTTTTGTTTCTTGTCTGGGTTAACAGGGCGAGGGAAGGAGGAGGCAGAAGACAGTGTATTTTTTGGTTTGTTTTGTTTCTGTTCTGCTCAGGATCTGAGATAAAGTTTCATTCACACAAGGTGAGTGCTTGACCACTGAGATAAGTCCCCAAACTTAAGTTAATGTTAATTATAGTTTTTTAAAAGCAATATATATATATAAAATCACCTGTAATCCCACTGCTTTGAGGTATTGTTAATAGTTTTTTTTCTTATAGTCTCTTCTCTATGCACATGAATTTCCACAAAAGCCTTATGATTAAAAGACTTTTGTATCTACCTATATATTTCCCCAGGCAAAGCTCTTTACTTGAATATTTTTCACTCACTGTTTAAAAAAAATCATTCACAATAAGAAAAAAAGTACCTGTTATTTCTACCTTCTTTTTTTAGATGAATCACTTTTCTTTCATTTTCCACAGAAGTTGTGGCATTCACTTAAACTCATAAAATTTATGATTTCAGAAAGATTAAATTCCAAGTGAAAACAATACCCCCAGCTCAGCCACTGTAGGCTCTTGTGGGTGGTGTGGTGGTTGGGGGCCCAGCTGGGTAAACGAAAAGGCAGACTTACCTGACTCAGTGGTGATTGGCAAAGAGAAAAATGTGTCTGAATAGAGGGGCTTTGTGAATTCCTTCAGGTCTTCATCAAACAGCTGTGTAAAAGCCCGAATGCTGATTCTGAAAACAAAACCAATTTATTTCAGATTAGCAGCTGACCATAAGAAGGCTGATCAAAAGGAGGTTTCAAGGAGAAATCGAGTAAGTACCTAGTCAATGTGTATGTAGAGTAAGATGATGAATTATGAAGTTAGATTAGAGTTCATTTGTTTTTACTATATATAGTAAATTATATATGTATGTGTATTATATATTTTATATACATATATACACAATATATTGACATATAACACATATATATGCACACACATAGAATTTACCATATGTTATATACCTATATAGCAGTAGGGCATTTGACTTGTGTGCAGCCAGCCTGGCCAAGCCGGGTTCGATTCCTCCGCCCCTCTTGTACAGCCTGGCAAGCTACTGAGAGTATTCAATATGCCAAACACAGTAACAAGAAGTCTCACAATGGAGACGTTCCTGGGCCCGCTCGAGCAAATCGATGAACAATGGGAGGACAGCACAGACAGCACTATGTTATATACCTATAATATCACTGTATCACAGTCCTCCCGTTGCTGATCCATTTGCTTGAGCGGGCCCAGTAACGTCTCCATTGGAGACTTTGTTGTTACTGTATTTGGCATATCGAATACATCACGGGGAGCTTGCCACGCTCTGCCATGTGGGCGAGATACTCTGGGTAGCTTGCTGGGCTCTCTGAGAGGGGCGGAGGAAACGAACTCAGGTCAGCTATGTTGGCTGCGTGCAAGGCAAACGCCCTACCGCTGTGCTATATAATTGGATATATTATGTATATAATATGTATTATAATATATATTATATATAATTTAATATATAATATAATTTAATATATAATATATATTATAATACATATTATATATACATAGCACTGCACTGTAGCACTGTCCTTCTGTTGTTCATCGATTTGCTTGAGCGGGCACCAGTAATGTCTCACAACAAATTGTGAGACTAGTTGTTACTATTTTTGGCATATCAAATATGTCACGGGTAGCTTGCCAGACTTTGCCATGAGGGCTAGATACTCTCGGTAGTTTTCCAGGCTCTCCAAGAGGGGCAGAGGAATCGAACTTGGATCAGTCACGTGCAAGACAAACGCCGTACCTGCTGTGCTATATAAAGCCTCTTTAGAGGTACCCTGAGAAATTGCCCTGTGGGATCTACCCAGTCAGGACTCTGGTCAAGTTCAGTGCTTGGCCAGACTGCCTGTGGAGGCAACCAGGGCTACACCAAGCAGTACTTTGGGGGGGGCAAGTGTTGCCAGGGGTTGAACTTGGGGAACACACAGTCTCTCCCTTTAGTAATCTCCTCAGCTTCTCATTGAATAGTTTTGGATTCTCCTTGCAGCAGTTCCTCTCAGAAGCTGAGGAACAGAACAAAGTCTCTCCCTCCCAGAGATTACCTTCTCTCATATTAAAAGTCAGTCATTCTGGGGGCTGGAGCAATAGTATAGCGGGTAGAGTGCTTGCCTTGATCATGGTCTACCTGGGTTAGATTCTCAGCACCCCATATGGTCCCTGAAATACCAGGTGATTCGGGGATCATATGGGTTTCTGGGAATCGAGTGCAGAGCCAGGAGTAACCCATAAGTACAGCTGGGTATGGCTCCCCATTCAAAAAAAGAACTCCCCCCACCAAAAAAAAACTAGAAATAAAAGTGCAGATCCAGGAGTAATCCTTGAGCATAGCCAGATATGGCTCCCTATCAAAAAACAAACAAAAAAACTCAGAAATAAAATCCACTAAATACATAGATTTAATATTCCTGATGGTGACATACACCATGAAAAAGAGCAGATGAAGTAGGGTAGAAGGCCATGGAAGACAGGTGCACAGGACTTCATCATGGTTCATGAGACCCCCTGGACAGAAGGTTTTTACAGCAAAGGAGGGGAGGATAGGCAGAGGGTACCACGAAGGGAGCAAGGAGGACCCAGCCCAAAGAGGAGGAAGGAAGTCATTAGGATGGTTCTAAGATTGGAGCTCAGGTCATCTGCTAGAACAAGGGCGTCATAGACAGACTGGGGAAGGAAAGGGCTAGAGATGAATTCTTTATGGGCAGATCCCTCTTCCTTGAATGTCCTCCTGTCCCAGTAACATCCTTTCAAGCCCTTCCTACTTCTGAATGAATATCAGCTGAAAGAAGACCTATTCCAAGAAGTCTTTGGAACCTTCTAGCAGCTAATTGCTACCACCTCTCTCTCTTACATCCTTCCACACATCTGCCCTGATTTTTACAGGCACAGCTTCTTTCCAGCACTATATTATAAGCTCCTGAAGACAGAAACTCTGTCTTATTTCTCTTTTTTAATCCCCATAGCACTTGGACCCCGAGCTTTTCACAGAGGAAATCCACATATAGAGTTTATTATCCCCGTGATAAATAGAATCCTGTGCGTAAGATTTTTTTTAAATGAGTGGATAAATAACTGATAGTCATTTTTTTCACTCTAAATGTGTTTAGAACCTGAACTCTATAGCTCAACATTAACGATCATGGGATTCAAATCTCCCCCCACTCAAGAAAAATGAGGTCAAGAGAAGCTGCCTAGCTTGTGGTCACATTGCTTTTCTATTTAGAGTAGAAACAAAACCAGATCAGCACTTTCCTACCCTCCAAAGTGCCTCTCTCCCCGCCTGGCCTGACCTTCTCTCCCTTATGGAACACTAATTAGGCACCCAGATAAGACAAACCCGAAGTGGGAACGCTTTACGTTAGTTGGCATAATAAACTTACATATCAGTGAAAGCAAGCAGTTCCCTTTCTTTACAGTCCTAATTTTTTCCCTTTCCTGTGTTCTTTCCTATCTACTGTCCCTGGGGGATGGGGGTGGGGAGGCCCGACTGGATCGAGGGTCACTGTGCCGAGGATGGCCTTGATCCAGGTTGAATTCTGGGAACACTGAACCAAGGCTTAGCAGACACACCAGAGGCCGCTCGCAGGTGGTGCTCCCACATGCTCTGAAAGGCCGGGCCTTCTCTTCTTGAGTGTTCTCTGCCTGGCATGCTTTCCACAGCACTGAGCCAAGTGGAGAGATATAGGAAAGCTGTGTTCTAGAAAACAAATATGCACGGCATGAGTTGATTAAGCTATAATAAGAATGTGTAACTTTTCACGGAGCAGCTTGACTCCTTCCCTTCTTGTTCAGAAGCGTTTAATGAGAACTTCCTTTGTGCCGGGAACTTGCCATATTGTCTTCTAACCAACATCACGGCTGCCTCCTCCATTCAGCCATGTCTTCTCTATGAACTTTCGTCTAGCTGAGAGAGTTGGAAATGAAACAAAGGCTTAAAATCCAGGGGGTAAGTGGAGGAATCACGGGATGACAGGATTGGGTCATGTGGAAATGAAGCTGAGTCAGCAGCACCAATGTGCCCAGCCAGAGGTTGACAGGCAAAGTGGGGGTGAGGCAAGGTTGAGCTGACTTTTGTAGAGCACATACACAGAAATCCCCCAGCCAGAGGAAAGGAAGGTTGTCCAAAGAGAGTGAAAAGAATGTGCAAAGTCCCAGAGGTCGAGAGAAAGAGAGGTTGTGTCACATTCCAGGGAACTCTGGGAAGTCAGAAGCAAAAGAACAGAAGATTCTCTGGGAAATGGTGGAAGACACAGCTGGTGAGGCTGCCGAAGGGAGACGTCAGAGCTTATGGTAGTCCGTTCTGGAGTCTTTATTTGTTCCTGGAAGTGAGTAGGAACCCCTTGGAGACTCCTTGAGCTAGAAAGATGACTGGGTTCCATCTGTCTCTCCAGTACACCTCAGCACAACTCTATAATGTTCTGCAGACGAGGACAGTGAGGCTTAGGAGCCTGAATTGCCATCTATTGAATTGCCACAGTAGGGCAGGGCCGGAAGGCAAATGCAAGGCCTTTCTGTCTCAAATGGAGTAAAGAGTCCAGTTCTTTTCTCTCACAAAACAAAGAAAGAAAGAAAAAGAAAAAAAGAAAAGAAAGAAACCAGCAGCAACTTTCCAACTCACAAAGGGAAAATAGCTATTGGGACTCTTTTGCTCAGCTTTCCCTGAGCCCAGCTAACGGAGGTGCTGTGCCCTCTTCTGAATCCAAGGAGTCCTGAGTCCTGAGCTCACATTTCTTCTTTGTTGGTTCCATACACTCACCTCCTTCAGGCAGATTCCTAGGATCTCCTCTTTGGTAAACCTCACTGCCAAGTTTCTGTGTTAAAAGTCCCACTTATTGTCATGGGAAGGTGCTCAGTGGTGGGATTGGTGTTTGAATATTATCAGCAATGAACTATTGTGAACTACTTTATGAAAATAAAATATATAAAAATTTCAAAAAAATAATAAATGAAAAGTAGGAAGTCCCCATCTTTACTGGGGTGACAATAACAAGTTTGTGAAGTGTCCTGGGCAGCGGCAGCTGTTGTGCACAGTTCTTCCCCAAATGAGTCCTTCGCCTTAGAAAAACCATTTGCTTGCCTTTGCTGATGCTAAGTGTACTCTAATTTTGAAGCTGGCATAAATGTTTCAACTGAGATTTGGGGTGATACTCAAAATATTTAAGAGTAAGACAAAGGCACCAGCCAACCACGATGGACATTGACTGACTGGGTTTCAACACTGCTGATGTCCAACACAGAAGATCCATCCTTCACAAAAGCATTACTCTGGTATGCCTGTAACCTTATACTTTATATACTACACACACACACACACACACACACACACACACACACACACTTGTTTGGGAATCCCTCAGTACCTGCCAATACTTGCTTCATGGGAAAGCAGTGCAGAGAATGAACCTGCAATTTTCTCTGCCTGGAAGGGGTTGCTGACCCATTCAGTGCTTCCTGGAGTCACACCAAACAGCTGCTTCTCCTTGTCTGCCAACTTAGTGGGAAGAGAGACTTTCTTATTATTTCCAGGGTCTTTTCCTTCAAAATTCTGTCTAGACCAAAGTGCTCTTTCATCTTTTGATGTCTCAGAAGGGAAATAACTAAGTGTGTCCCAGTCCTTCCTGAAAGTGAAAGACATTCCCCCATATTTTCTTGACTCTCCCTAAATGCAATATCCTTATGTGGGCATTTTCACAACTGCTAACTTGCTAAATTATGATTCCTACCCAAGAAGTTTCGAGAGAAAGAACAATTTAGTAAGAACTTTCACTACACCACATAATGAACTTGAGTGCCTGCCCCAGGTTGATGGCCTTCGTGGTGCATTACCTGTGCATGGAGGTGAGAAGAGCTTTTATAAATTACGCAGGAAAATGTACAGCAGTGTGGAAATGTAGGTTATTAATCTATAGAAGCTCATATCTATCAGATGCCCAGAAAATGCAATGCTCAGAAATGTAGCCTGTCCACACTAGCAAAATGCAGGTAATACATCTCACCTGTAGGCAGTGCGTGGCTTCAGTGGCCCGTCACAAAATTTTTGCTCGTCCGGATCACATTTTCCACCCAGGCTCTCCATCTCTGCTCCCAGTTTAATGTTAAAACTCTTAGAGTTGCTGTCAGGACTTTCGGCACATTTGCTGGCAAAGTAATTGGTCTGATACACTTGAATGGAGGCATTGTGTCTGTACTCCAGGTAGGAGGGCAAAGGATGCTGAGGTTCAGGCTTCAGGTCCTCACTGCCTGGAGGGAGAAAAACCCACAGTGAAGCACTTCCTCATGACTTCAATGATTTCTAAATAAATTTCTAAGGCTGCTTCCTCACCCTCTACCTCTGTTTACCTCCAGAATGCAGATTCTGTGATCTTAAAGATTATCATAAGGTTTTCCTAATGGAATTAATTTAATTCATTTTTTTTCTAAAATATAAAAAATATAGAATTCAACACACACACACACACACACACTCCATCACTTTTCTTGGAATTTTTTTTTAAACGTGACTTATGTGAGGTTAGTTCGGTACGAATGATTACATGCCCGACAACTCCAGACAGTTGGACTCTCCTCATTGGAGAGGCAACCCGCTCAATCAGCTCCCTACCTTGCCAATAATCATTGTAGCTGAGCTCATAAGGAAATCCCTATGACCTGGAAATAGGGAGAAGATAAGAAAAATCAAGTCCAAGGCCAGTGCGGTGGCCCCACCAAGCATGTTCCATGTGCTCCGCCAGGCCTGATAATTGCTCTGTGTACAGCTCTATTATCTGGAATACTGTTTAATCCCAGCTTGAATTTGACCCTTCATGCAAAACACTTCCCAGAATTCTTCCCCTGTCCACCCAGCCTCTTGTGTGTTTTGGCACCTCAAACTCGTTTTGATGTTGGCTGGAGGAAAACATAATTAGGAAGATAAATATTATAAAGATTGGATGCCACTGGCAATGGACTTCAAGGTACTGGGGGTGCTTACTGCATCCTGAATTCCTGTTGAATAGAATTTGCTCCTGGGAACATTATCATGCTGGCAGGAGTTGAAAAGGCATATTCTTTTTAGGATGAGCATATAGGCTACAAATGACATGTATATGAATTTGTTTTCCTGGAAGACCAGGGAAACATAGCCCATCTCTATGGACATCAATAATGGGAACCCACCAGGCTGGAAAACACTAGCCAGCCTTTGCAATAATATTTGAGGGTGGGGGGTGTCACTGATAGATAGTCATGTAGTAAAACGTTTTCTCCATACTTTGGTTTATGGTACTGGGGAGAGAAACTCACACATGTAAGATAAGCATTCTACCAGTTAGCTATATCCGTAGGTCCCAAACATTACCCCCCCCCCACTTTTGTTTTTGGGCTACACTTGGAGATGCTCAGCGTTTACTCCTTGCTCTGTGCTTAGGAATCACTCTTAGTGGTCCTTGGGGGCTGGTGAACAAACCCTGGTTGGCCATGGGCAAGGCAAGTGCCTTAATTACTATGACTCCAACCCCACCATTTTCTCTATTGCTGCCTACTTTAGTCCAAAATCTTTCCACAGTTTACTTTCCAATTAGGAGGTATAAGAAAATATGAGAAAACATGGGATAACCTTGAGGTTATTTAACTGATTATGCATAACCAACTTTAATATAATTAAGTAAAATATAAAATATAGGACTGTTAAATATCTAGGGAGACTGACATACCATTTAGCTTAGAAATTACTCCAACATTTGTCGGTTATAGGTTTCCTATTGTCCACAAAGGGGTTAAAATAGGATGTGCTTAAGAAATCCCAGGGCAACACCTTAAACAATATTGAAATGACAAGACATGTAAAGTATATTAATGCCATTCTAGATACAAACATCTGGTTTTGGAGAAATAACACAATAACACATCCGTTGCAACACCTCAGGAGCCTACAAATGCATAACTTCTGTAGGAGGTCTGATGAGAAAATAACTTAAAACTATTCCACTCAGGGTTTGAAGGGAATGTTAGAACTATTCCCTAGTACTTACTTGGTCTCTAGACACTGGAAATTAGATAGATACTGAAAACTCTAGTGGACTAGAAAATGAAAAATCTACTAAAAATTCAATAGAGAAAGAAGGATTGCTGTTCTTAATCATGCTTTCCCTCTTTTAAGTGTTGGAACATTTCTGGGAATGTAAGCCATTTGGGAGTGTGTGGTTAGTTGAGGTGTTGGGGCAGGGAGTGCTGAAGTTCTGATGCTTAATGGCCGAAGAAAAGAGCAGTGAACAGTATTGAATGAGCAGTGAGAACCCCTGGGTGAATCATTCTGTGTACTTCCAACAGTGCCTGGCACATATTAAGAGCTCAACAATGATGGTTACTATTATGACTGTGATGGCTGCTAATATTAATATTCAACCATTTAAGAATAAAAGCCAGAGGCCAATAAGCTTCCAACAGGCTTTATTTTCAAAAGACCCTTGAGCAATTTTCTGTTATCTCTCCTTCCCATCACCCAGCAGAGACATAAGAATTCTGCAAATTTGTCGCAGTAAGAGGCTCCTCAGTGACCTTTGAGAAAGCCCTCCCTGTCTTCCGGGGAGCTAATGCAGCTCACTTACCATCGGCCTCTCTCACCACCACTGTGAAGTATTTCACAGCTCCATTGGTGTCGCTGAACCAGCTGCAGTTGAAAGTGAAGTTGATAGAAGATTTGCTAATTAGCACATCCTTTTTATTCACACGAATGTGTGGAGGTGGAGGAGGGGGGCCTGGAAGAAGGAGGGGGGAAGGAAGCAAGAAGGGTCATAATCTGCTTTCACAAGGAAACAGTCAGTGAAATGAAGGGCCCACTCTCCTTTCATCTACATTTAAGTGTCTAACTCTGTGTGTGTGTGTGTGTGTGTGTGTGTGTGTGTGTGCGCGCGCGCGCGTGTGCGCGCGCGCATGTATGAGGCTTACAATCAAGAAAACCTCCTCCTCGGAAAGGAAGAAGGCAGAGGAAGTGATATGCCAGCGGCACATTAAACCATAATGAAAGAGGCCACTCCCCAGCAGGATTTCCTGAAGTTGGAGCTTCGAATTGCTTAAAAGCTCCATTAGAGCTAAACTATATCAGGCTAAGTGATGTACTTAAATACAAGCTCCTTCAGGTGCTGTGAGACCATTTAACATGTTTGCTGCCAGGCTACTTTACACACAGAGATGTTTCCATTTCCTGGCAGCTGTCAGGCCCTCTTTGCCAAGGGACAAGAATTTAATGTGGGTGTGGATGGTCCACAGGGGAAGAGGGTGATGGGGAGGCTAGAGAAGAGAGTGCCCTTAGGGGACCACTCACCAGGGACACTTACGGTCAATCATTGTGATGGTACTGTCTTCCACCACCTCACTGGTCACGCCGGCCGACTGCACCTTGATGGACACCAGGTATCTCTTATGGGGCACTAGCATCATGATGTTGAGCAGAGACTTCTCTTTCTCCAGCTTCCTGGAGAATTCAACTTCTTGGGTGTCCATTTTCCGGCATTCGATGCTATACCCGTCGAAGTCAGAATCGGGTGGGATCCAGGAACAGGCAATGGCCGTGGAGTTCTGCGGCCGGCAGTGCAGGTTTTGTATCTTGTCTGGCTCTGAGGGAGAGTGAGGAGACCTTTAGGGAACTGTGAAATATCTTCCCCACTCCAGCTCTTTGGAATTCAACTACTTTTCGGATCTAGAGCAAATCATTCTCACATTTAATTCAGAGTGGGTTTCAAATAGAAAATTCTCGAAGCTCTCTCAGGCAGTTTGGTCTGTCGGAGAATTCTGCACTGTAGCACTGTCCTCCCGTTGTTCATCAATTTGCTCAAGTGGGCCCAGTAACGTCTCCACTGTGAGACTTGTTACTGTGTTTGGCATATGGAATACATCATGGGTAGATTGCCAGGCTTTGCTGTGTGAGTGAGATATTCTTGAGAGCTTGCCGGGCTCTCCAAGAGGGACAGAGGAATCAAACTCTGGTTGGCCAGGTTGGCCACATGCAAGGCAAACGTCATACCTGTCATACCCGCTGTGCTATCACTCCAGGCCATTGGAGAATTCATTTTGTGAAATAATTTGAAAACACTAACACTGATTTCAAGTCTCCTGAAAGTCACTCTGTGGTGGCATGATTGGAAACACAAATTCACATATGGGGACTGAAACCTGGTGTGAGAAGTCAGTCTCCAAGAAGTGAAAAGTATGACTTAAGGCTTGAGGGGATGGCAGAAGTGAACAGGCCTGATCCTGAAGAGGACCCTAGCAAAGCATGCCTACCCCAGCTCCACTCAGCAGCAGCTGGCCAAGTAGCCCTGGACATGTGCTTTCAGCAGTGTTGGGGGATCCGGTGGTGCTGGGGACTGAACTAGAGTTGGCTGCATGCAAGACAAGTGCCTTAACCCCTGGACTCTCTCTCCAGCCCTACCCCTGGATATGGACCCCATAAAAATAAATAAAGAGGGGGCTGGAGCCATAGCACAGTAGGTAGGGCATTTGCCTTGCACGCGGCTGACCTGGGTTCAATTCCCAGCACCCCATATGGTCCCCTGAGCACGACCAGGAGTAATTCCTAAGTGCATGAGCCAGGAGTAACCCTTGTGCATCGCTCGGTGTGACCCCAAAACCAAATAAATACATACATACATAAATAGTTTTTTGAAGTACAGCACGGCCTTCTGAATTCAAATTCTAGTTAGCAGCTCTACACTCTTTGGCAAATTACTTATATGTTTCTGCCTCACATGCAACATGGAGAAAGGAAACAGATCTATTTCATAAGGTTCTTGTGATGATTCGATGATCTGAAATACACATTGCCACCTAGAATAGTGGCTGGCATAGTAATTGCTCAATAGATGAAATTGTTTCCATGAGGAAATTAAAAAGTGTTGAGGACTTCCTACCCTCTGGGCCTGGTCTCTTCCTGCCTCCCCCATTTCTCTGCCAGCCTGGCTCACAGTCTGGCTCAGGCCTGACAGGGCTCTGGATGCGCATGCGCATATCAGATGGACCCATCCCTTCTGCGTCACTCAGGTTTTTGCCTCCTCAGACTGCCTAGCTCAATTTGGACTCAGAGAACTGTAACTGATTTCATTCTGTTGTTGTGAATGACACAACAATGAGTAACCTGATTCAGTCGAAAAGAAAAGTACTTGTAATGGGCCACACAGGTGAAAACGAAGCTTTGTGGGGCCCTCGAGAATAACACACCCACTGTCTCTTATTATGCCATGAAGCTAAATGTGTGATTTAAAATGAGTTGTTTTTTTGTTAAAACGTTAATTTTGGTATCTGAGCTATTTAGAGAGAGAAAAGTGTGAGGCTAGAGAGACCCCATTTCAAACCCAGGAACTGCGGATGGTCCCTGCACACTGCCAGGAGTGATTCTTGAGCAGCATCAGGAGTAAGCCCTAAGTATCACTGGATATGGCCTTCAAGACCCAAATAAAATGGAAAGGAAGGGGCGCTGTAGTGCTTGGAGGACAGAGGTGGGTGCAGGTGATAGTCATGGTGTTGGAATATTGTGCATAGAAACTATCATTAAAAGTATTGGTAAATCATAGTCTGCACTGCACTGTACTATCCTCCCATTGTTCATCGATTTGCTCGAGCGGGCACCAATAACGTCTCCATTGTGAGACTTGTTGGTGCTGTTTTTGGCATATCGAATACGCCATGGAGAGCTTGCCAGGCACTGCCATGTGAGCGGAATATTCTCGGTAACTTGCCGGGCTCTCCGAGAGGACAGAGGAATTGAAGCCGTGTAGACCGTGTGCAAGGCAAATGCCCTACCCGCTGTGCTATCGCTCCAGCCCGGTAAATCATAGTACTTTGATCAATTTGAAAAAATTAAAATAAAAAAAGAAAAGAAAAAATTTGGACAGGATGATAACTCCACAGGCTGGAGCACATGGTAACAAATACAGGACCTTGTGCTTAACCTTCAGTACTGCTTGCCTCCGTCTCAGCCTCTCAGCCGTATCACTGGGTGTAGCCCTGGTGCTCCCAAGCACTGCTAGAAAGTCCTCCCCCTGCCCCAAGCCCCCAAAACAAGTAACAAAAAACAACAGAAAAGAAAAGTTCTCAGATTTCTACATGTAAAATCCAAGGAACTCTGGCTCTGTGTTTAAGCGTGTATAAGGGTGGGGGGTGCTATCCTGGGGTAACCTCTGTAAGATGCTCCTGGACTTGCCTCCTTCCCAGATTCAAAGGATCCTTCGGGCTCTGGGATAAATTTTTAAAATTAGATTTAGACCCTTTTGTTCCTCTTTCATTCCAGGAGTCAAAAGCATTGGCAAAGAGTAAATCTGAAAAGGTTTCCCACTGCTCCAGTGACCACAGCACAGAATACAAGCGCAACACACACAGTGACAGCTCTCAGCAGTCATCAGCCAGGTCACTGCATCCAAAAGGTTCAAGAGGTGCAAAGACCATAGAATGCGAGGAGAGATTTAAAAAAAAAATAAGAGAGGTCTGGGGAAATGGCTCAGAGCTCCAGACTGCCGTTCTGGCATGCGAAAACCCTTAGTTTGATTCCTGGTAGCACCCGTGGCCACCGCCTGGTGTGGCCCAGATGGGCCCCACCCTCAGCACTGACAGCCCAGCTGAGTGTCACTGAGAATGCCTCCCACCCTGCACCCCAGCCCTTGGAGCTCTGCTGGAGAGGCGCCTCTCTCCACAAGAAGGCAAGAGACAGTGATGTTTGACTTGAAGAATACTGAAGAAAAGCTGGACCAACAGTACAGTAGATAGGGTGTCTGCCTGGCACATGGATGACCGTTCAATCCCCAGCACCCCATATGGTCCCCCAAACCCCACCAGGAGTGGGTCCTGAGTTCAGAGCCAGGAATAAACCCTGAGTAACACTGAATGTAGCCCCCAAACCAAAAATCTGAAAAGAATACTGAAAAGGACAAACACATTTCATGACACTCTTATTTCATTCCATTGCTGAGTTTTTATGGTCCTCATCACAAATGTCATCCTTTCCTCCTTGCCCTACCTCCTTCGCTGCCCCAAATTACAATGGTTCCTTCATAAACTCTACAGAAGATTTGGCTACATAGTTTTCAGGATCCACTGACAAATAAAAATATGATGCCGCTTCAAACATTATTAAGATTTTTCAGACAATGACAGCATAGAAATAAACCAGTGTGGGTCCATGTGTGCCTGCAAGGCCAGGAAGATGGGACTTGTGCTTAGAAGATTTCATTACAAATGGTCTTCAGGGAACTGGGTGTGGCCCCATCATCCCTCACCATGCCCTGATATGGACCACAACCCACCTCCCTGCTTAGTTACAGATCTATGTCCTCAACAATCACAGCTTTGAAACAGCATTTCTGAGCCACTGAACTGTGTGTCATATAAATATGTGCACTTGTTAACTAAATCACAACAGATTAGATGAGGATCACTTTACTTTTCCACCAGATACTTTTTCCTATCATATTTTCTCCTAAGTAATGTTTAGAAGACCTGGGGGGGCGGGGTCACCCTGGTGATACTCAGCCAACAGGACTAGAGTTTCAGTGCTAGGGTCCTAGACCGTGATGCTGCTCAGATCCTGGGGTGCAGGGGATTAGTCAGGCCACAATAGGGGTATCAGAGTGGGGGTTGGACATGGATGTGGTATCGGGTTGAACTATCTCCTTAGCCCTGGAATGCTTTATAAACTTCTAGTTTGCTTGACCCACTGTGATTTTGGAATTTGGGGTTTTCTGTCATCCACAAACAATTCCAGTGCTAATGAATGCAGTCCTCAAGATTCCATCACTCGGGTGCTGGAGCGATAGCACAGTGGTTAGGGCATTCGCCTTGCATGCGGTTGACTTGGGTTTGATTCCCAGCATCTCATATGGTCCCCCGAGCACCACCAGGATTAATTTCTGAGTGCATGAGCCAGGAGTAACCCTTGTGCAATGCCAGGTGTGACCCAAAAAAACAACAACCAAAAAAGATTCCAGCAGTCACTTCTCATAAAACTCAGTACTGAATGCCTCTGAATATCTCAGCTCTCATCATGGGTATGTCCAATTAATAAATGTTATATCTGTTAGAACATTTAAGTGTTGAATGCTAGTTTAAATTTCTAATTTTAACTACTTATTTTAACCGTAATTACCTGATACAAGAAACTATATAGTCTAGGTATTGTTTAAAAGGGCTGGAGGGATAGCACAGCAGGTAGGGCATCTGCCTTGCATGTGGCCGATACAACCTACCTGAGTTAGATTCCTCTGCCCCTCTCGGAAAGCCCGGCAAGCTACCAAGAGTATCTCACCCTCATGGCAAAGCCTGGCAAGCTACCCGTGACATATTCGATATGCCAAACACAGTAACAAATCTCACAATGTTACTGGGCCCACTCAAGCAAATTGATGAACAACAGGAGGACAGTGATAGTGATTGTTTAAAAAATTAATATTTGAATTACTACCTTATACTGAAGACCTTTGTTTCTTTAAGACTGATTGAAACACCCCAGCATTTCTTTGGGAAGAAATGAATCATTGTTTCATTGTTTAAGTATTTTTATTTTTGGGCTCTGTAGTAATACACCCAAACTAATCCAGTTATATTTGATTTTTCCCCTTTCAATCTATTCTCATAGTAGTGGCTTCCAACCACTGATCTGCAAAAATGCCCTGCTAGTCCCTGGGAAGGTCACTGCTACGTATCACAGGTGCACTGGGCATGGAGCAGCATGGACTGGGCAAGCACTGCCCATGACAATACAAGCCTGGTGTACACATATTTTGTTTGCCATCTTTACCAATTTGCAGTTGAAAAAAGAAAAGAATGGAAAACCACTATCTGACATTATTTTATCCTTTATTATTAATTAATTTATTTTTGAGGAGGGGAGAGTTGGGACATATCTAAGCACTGCTTAGGGGCTAATCCTGCTATGATTAGGGACCATCCATGGCACCAGGGATAGAACCTGGGCCAGTCATGTGCAAGGCAAGTGCTTTATCGCCTATACTATTTCTCTGCCCCCTCCACTATCTTAAATGCCAATCTGATAATGTCATCTCTGCTGAAAATCCTTCAGTGACTCTAACAGACGTGTTGTTGCTGCCAAAATTGTTACCAAAGTTTGTTACCATAGTGTCACAAAATTTTATGCTGTGGCCAACAAAACTCCTCTCTGATCTTATTTCCTCTTGCTTGGTATTGCAGTGTTTTTTCTTTCTACCTAATCTATTTCATACTTCTTTTTCTATCTCCTCCTCATAATCTTACTCTTTACAGATTTGATGTAAATGATTTAGATTAAGATGTTTCTACTTCTGAGAAATTTGTTCCTAATGACTAAGATCCTTCTGTCAAGTATTTTTCTAGTGCCAAATATTTCATTACAGTCAGTATGTAACTGTCTTTAAGTATATGGTGGGTCACATTCAGAGGTGCTCTGGACTTATTCCTGGTTTGGTGCTCAGGAGTTATTCCCAACAGTGCTCAAGGATTCATGCAGTACTAGAGACAGAACCTGGGGTTCCCCCATACAAAGCATGAATACCAGCCAGCTATTCAGCTATTTCCCAGGCCCTGTAATTGTCTTCCTAATGCTAGGAGGAACTCTCTTTCTATTGAAAGCCCCGTGAGGACAGAAACAATTTAGTTCCCTGTGTTATTAATGTCCAATAAATAAACACAACTATATAGATAACTCCTGCCTTAATTTAAACCAAACCAACTCCCAAGTGATGCTGTGGTTTCAAATCAACCACCATAAGATATTGTAACACATACTTTCACATTCTTTCCATCTGAAGCAAAAGTAGAAAAATATGTCTTACTTGTCCTCACGGATCCAAAAACTGGCTTGCTATAGGTTCTCCAGGAATCACCACTCACAGTCTGGACACTAAATTGATAAGATCTTCCTGGACGAAGACCGTACATAATGCGTCCTTCTGATTTTTTGGTGCTGTAGGGGTTGAAGACAGTGAGCGTATCTTTGGGAGACCACTGCAGCTCAAAGTCATCGTAGTCTGTCCAATCTGGGGGTACTTTCCAGGTGATAGCTAAAGATGTGTTTGCAACATCAGCAAATGACATAAGACTTGGAGGACTTGGGGCTATATGTAGGAGAAAGGGAAAAATCACATAATCATACTGGGTCAAAAATCAACAAAATCTGATAACTGAACAATATTAAACAGGCATTTATTATTTTAATTTTTAAGTTACTTTGGTTATGAGGTCATGCCTCGTGGTTCTCCTCTCTCCATGCTCAGGAATTACTCCTGGCAGTACTTGGGGAACTATATGAGGTGTTAAGGTTCAAACCTGGTTGGGCCTCATTGCAAGACAAACACTTTTACCTTTGTACTATCTTTCTGACTGGACAGACTTTTATGTATTTTGTAGTAAAAGAGATGATATAACAATACAAGAATAGGAGCTTGTATTCATAGTGTTCACTATGTATATGACACAGTCTTCCATACTTTATGTACCTTTTATTTAATTTTCATGAACAGAAATTCCTTATGAGGGTAGAGTGGAGTGAGAGTGATTGGTGAGTGGGTTACAACTGCATGGAGGTTCTGGTTCTATCAGACTGAGGGGTGGGAATGCACAGACAAACAATGTCTCACTGTAGAGAGCCTCTTCATTGACCCTAGGATCACAAATCACAAATCACAAATCATCCTGTTAATCGTCGATTGCCTCGAGCAGGCCCCAGTAACGTCTCCTTCATCCTAGCCCTGAGATTATATTCAAAGCTCTTTAGGAGAATGAGACCCATCATTGTTACTGGTATTTGGCATATTGGGTACGACACAAGGAGTTTGCCAGACTCTGCCGTGTGGGCAGGCTACATGACCCTAGAATGGCATACAGAAATGAAAGTCTTCTGTGTGTCCAAGAAATAAGAATGTTTAGGAAACACTGCTCCTAGCAACATGGTAATGAAATAAATAATTTTGTTTTGTTTTGGTTTTTGGAGTCACATCTAGCAATGCGCAGGAATCACTCTTGGCTCTGCACTCAAGAATTACTCCTGGTGATGTTCAGGGGACTACATGGGATGCTGGGGCTTGAACCTAGGTTGGTCATGTGCAAGACAAGCTCCCACTTGGTACTATTGCTCTGGAACTGTGAAATATATAATTATCCCCCATTTTACAAATAAAAGAACTGAGGCATGATCTTACCAAGTTCACAGAAGTAAGAAACAGAGCTAAGTAAAGGACCTAGATCTTTTTGGCCAAAATCTGTGTCCTGTATCCATGGTGCCATAGCACCTTCTCACTTGGGGGTTGCATATGGTATATCACATGTGATGGTATTTCTTCTTATTACCATAATTAAAAGGTTTCTTTTTTAATTTATTTATATTTACTTATCTTGGTTTGGGGGCCACACCTGGTGGTGCTCAGGGCTCACTTCTGGTCCTGTGTTTAAGAATCACTTCTGGATGGTCTTGGGAGGACCATATGGGATGCCAGGGATTGAACCTGGGCCAACCACATGCAAAGTAAGTGCCCTTCTGTTGCACTATTTCTCTCCCCCTAAAAATGTGTCTTGAGAAGCTATTCCCCATAAACATTTGACCAGTGACAACTGTGCTTTTACCTGTTCTGCTCTCGCCGATGACTTTGTTGCTGAGATCTCCACTGTGAGTTACCACCCACAGTGTGTACTTCCTTCCAGGAACCAGGCCACGGAAACGCCATTCCGTCAGAGACTTATCTTTCCAGTTTTCCTTCTTTGTACCATTGGGATTGTAGAGAATCAACTCATAAAAGTCAAAGTCCCCCGACGCTGGGCTCCAGCTAAACCAGAGGCTATCTGTCATGTTCCGATTAGATCCCTTAAGATTACTCACAGTGGCTGGAACTAGAACAGAGAGAAAATCACGATTGAAAACAACAGAAACAAATGTGCTATTACCCACCAGTGAAAATATGAGCTGTACTGGACACATGAGCCAGTAGTATAGATTATGGAGTCAGTGCATATCTATACTACATTTCATTGCATAATTGTTATATGTTTTATGTTAAATATTTTTGCATAAAAGTGGAATGTGACCATTAGTGAGGTTTTAAAAAATGTGGTGGGGTCAGAGAGATAGTACAGTGGTAAAGGCCTTATACATGACTGACCCCCATTCAATTCTCTACATCAAGTATGGTCCCCCAAGACTCACCAGGAGTGATCCCTGAGCACAGTCAGCTAGTGCTCCAAAAGTAAACAAACAAAAATGAAACAAAACAGAAAATAAATTTCTATAGGCTTTCCATATGATCTTTGATAAAAATATAAAATGAAATCTTTAGAAATGAGGGTGAAAACTGCCCAAGTAGGTTTTAACTCAGCTTATTAAAGGTTCTAAAAATGTTCAGAAACATTTCCAACACCTTCCAGTCTGGCTCATGTCAGCGGTGGCCAACCTCCCCTACACTCCTCTCTGCCTCTCTACTTCCTCTCCACCTGCCCAGGTCTCCCTTTTCTCATGCTTTTTATTTCCAAAATCTATCTCAGTATAAGCTCCCTTGGAAGAATATGAGTTCACAGTCACTTGGACCACTGTGCAGTCACGCCACCATCTGTGCTGTAGGTATACAAGCATCATTCTCAGGAGAGTGAGCACCGTTTTACCTTGCTGGAGGAACTTGAAGCAGTAACGAGCAGGTAAGGCAAACTGCCCCGGAAATTGGAACATCTATGCAATTCTAGTCACAATCTAAGCTTAACAAGGAGAATTTCTGTCAGGTGCCTGAAATGTGAGCTTCCCAGGGTTCCTTTACCGTCAAGGCACAGCTGAGATGCCTTCTCTGTCTAATGCAGTTTCCAGTCCTGCCAAGTTGCTCTCTGTCACAACATACTGTTTATTTCCTTCATAGAATTTAAGGCGTACTAAGATCATTTCCCTTTATAATCTGCCATCTGGACGCTCTCCTCCTCTCTTTTAACGTAAAGTTCTATGAGGACAAAGGTCTTGTCTGTCTTGTTTACTGTCATTGTCCAGCCCAGAGCACACAACCTGGCACCCCAGAGCATTCTAAATCCACCATCAAATGGAAAAAAACCAAGTTAAATAGAAAAATGAAAAATGGAAATTATGTGGAACAAGTTCATTCCATTTCTCTGCAGAGACCTGGAAGATGTCTCCCTTTTTTCCATTTTCCTGGAACTCTTTGTGTTTATTTAATATAGTGCTATATTCCTGAGGGATGGTACTTCAGGCCCATTGGGTCCATCTAAAGTCACTCCTGTGATCTGCTCTCTGTTCCATTAATTTCTTCCAGAAAACTGAAGGCATAGCATGTGAACTGAAGGCAAACCACGATGGGCTATTGGCAAAGAGAAGAGCCAGACTTGTGATCCCCAGACCCAAACCAGTGGAAATGAAAGATCAGAAGCCAGTGCAAAACTTGGACACTCTCTATTCTGATATATAATCAAAGGTCTGATTTAGGATCAGAAAGCTGGAAGGTCATAAATTTCATAAATATGCAAACCTTGGTTATAACCGACTACTAAGGCAAGCCAAGGAAAAGCCTTGAGTGCCAGGACAACTTCCTCATGATTTAGGATTGCTTAGGCCCAGGTCTTACCTGTTCTACCAAATATAAAACACTCATTGGACAGTTCCCCACTGTGAGTTACAATGACCAATTTGTACATCCGGCCTTGTAGCAAGTTCTGGAAAGAGAAGCTCTGGACTTGTGGGTCCACTTGAGCTCTCTCCTGAAGGGTTCGATCTGGGTTGTACAGGAAGATGTTGTACCAGTTGAGCTCCCCTTCAGAGGCAGTCCAGGTGAAGGCCAAGTGTCTGGTGGAGTTCTCTGTGATCCTCAGATTGGTCACAGCTGCTGGAACTGGGAGAGCAGGAATGACAGAGTGAGATTGAGTTTGGTCAAATCCCTGACACAGCTCTGGATGGATGCACTCAAACCTAGAAATCTTAGGGGAAAAAAAATCTTGACTTCATGAGACCCCAACATGAAAATCTGCCCAATAGGGAAATCTGAATTTTGTGATGCTGAAACTGTTAATTTTGAAACAAACAAGAACAATGACAAAATAGTAATGGAAAATTGTCTTCAAAAACATGTTTTGGGTATAAATTAAGAGTTAAACTGACCTGGATGACTAAGTATTTTTCTATTATTAAGATCTAAGTCAGAGATCAAAAAAATTATCCCGGAGAAGCTTTGCTTATAAAGGCCACAGGAGGGAAGGCTGGAGTGAGTGGGTGGGAAGAAAAAACAAAGAAGAAATTCGATCCAAGGACACAAAAAGAGAAGCAAGAGAAAAGCTAAAATCATTTGAACAGCAAACCGTTTACATCAGGATTTGGAACCCCCTTTTGGTCTTCTGTATGACCTGTTGGCAAGGTCATCAAGTGTCACCAAAAACAACCAGCTTCCAAACTGTTGGCAGAGATGTTGGGATGGAAAAGTAAATATCTGAGTACATGCCTTTTATGCAAGAAGCCCTGGTTCAACCCTCAGCACCACATGGTCCTGTGAGCACCACTAGGGACCTCTAAGCACTAAGGCAGAATAGCCCCTGAGGACTTCTGTCTGTAGCCCCCAAACAAAAACAACAAAAGATTCAGCCTGATTCCATACAAATCTTTGGATACTGGGGGAAAAAGAGGGCACCAGTCTCAGTGCTGGTTTCTCCTGCCTGGCACAGGAGAAACCTTATCTCACACCTTATATTAGGCCCTTAAAATTGTTATTTCCCATAGTTCCATCCTTTATCCCTTCATAGACTGTAACATTAGCTGAACAATTGATCTCTTTTCACTTTATGAATTGTTATGGTCTGAATGTCTGTGTACTTGCAAAACTCATATGCTGAAGTCTAGCCCCCAAAGGGCTAAAGTTAGGAGGTGGGACCATTAGGATGGGATTAGATTATGAGAATGGAGCCCTAAATGAGTGGCTTCATAAAAGAGGTTCCAGAGAGTTCTCTTGTCCTGCTCTCTGTGAGGCCACAGTGAGGAGATACTGGCTGTAAATCAGAAAGCTGGTTTCTCCTGGCACTGGCATTGCTGGCCTGTCTTCCCAGCCTTCAGAAAATAAATGTCTGCTGTTTAGTTTAAGGTATTCTTATTATGGCAGTCTAAAAAAAACCACGGACATGGCTAGAACTTTTTTGTCTAAATTATGACCCTAGTTCACTTTACTTTTCTTTGTTTACTCAGTTCTGAGCTAATAATCTCAGTGGCATCATCTTCAGTCAGAGACCCAGGCAGAAACTCTGGAATCCTTTATTCTAGGCCACGTGCTATATTTAGGCATCATTCTTGGAGGTGCTCAGAGAGTCATGCAGTCCCAGAGATCAAGCTGGGGCTTCCACATACAAATCATGCATTCCAGTCCTCTAGCCATCTTCTGGGGCTCCAGATCACATTTCTGAGCTCAGACATACACAATTCAATAGGTTAAGATCAACAGTCTCTCTCAGTAAGCTTTTCAGATATCACAAACCCAGAACAAAGATGAACGCTATGAGGTTCTCCTTGGTGGTCTCTTCTGCTTCTAATCTCAGTACCATCGCCTTCAATTAGAAACCCAAGTAGAAACTGGAATCTTTCTGGGTTCCTCCTTCTACACTTCAATCAACCATCAAGGATCATCTTATCTAAGGTAGATTTGTGGGCCAGAGTGATAGTACAGCATGTAGGGTGATTGCCTTGCATATAGCTGACTAGGTTAGATCCTCAGCACCCCATTTGGTGCCCAGAGCCCCATAAGGAGTAATCCTTGAGTGAAGAGCTAGGAGTAAGTCCTGAGAATGGCCAGAAACAGGCAAACAAACAAACAATAAACCAAAAAACTAAATTTAGAGCCAGAGCAATAGTACAATAGGTAGGGTGTTTGCCTTGCATACAGCCGGCCTGGGTTTGATCCTGAGCTTCCCATATAGTTCCCTGTGCACTGCAAGGAGTAATTCCTGAGTGCAGAGCAAGGAGTAGCCCCTGAGCATTGTCAGGTGTGACCCAAAAAGCCAAAACCTGCCCCCACAAAACAAAACCCCAAACAACTAAAAAAAACCCACCCCCACAAGTCTAAGGTTGATTTATTTCTCTTCTTTTTTTAGTGTGTGTGGGGGGACATACCCAGCAATGCTCAAGCGTTACTCTTGCCTCTGCACTAATGAATCATTCCTGGCAGGGCTCGGGGAACCACGTGGGATGCTAAAGAATGAACCTGGCTAAGCCTTATGAAAGGCAAGTACCCTACTTGCTGTACTATCTCTCTGGCCTTGGTAGATCTGTCTCTTGACTATATCAACTATTATTCACCAGAGTCCTGCTTTTGCTTAATTTTTGACTCTTATCACATATACAGGTCATGGCCCCCAGAATCCCTCTGATCCTTCTCCCCCTCCCCCCACCATACATACACTGTATTCCAGCTATTCTGGTTTATACTGTTACTCCAAAAGACCCAACATGTTCTCACCTCAGGATCTTGCCCTTGCTGTTTGCTCTGTTTGGGGGGATACTCTTCCCCACATACAGTATCCCCTCTTTATATTTTAGGGCAATACATCTTAAGACTCCCAGTGGATGCCTTAAACCATACACAGTACCAAACCCTATATAAACAATGTGTTTCCAATACATATATACCTATAATAAAATTTAACAGATACATTCAGCATGTAAGAGGTTATGAACAAAAACAAATAATCAAATATAAAATGTAAATTTTTTATGAAAATCATGTCAATGTGTTCTTTTTCTCTCGTTCTCACTCTCTCTCTCTCAATATCTTATTGAGCCTCATAGTTTGGAATTGTGGTTGACTGCAGGTAACTACAACCACAGAAGTTATAACCATGGACAATGGGGACTCTCTCTACATGATCTTTTATCTGACAGCTTTTAGATTTTTCACTCAAATGCCATCTTCTTTACCTTTGAAAAATGAAAGCTCCAACACTTGGTATCCCATTTTTCTGTGTTAATTTTCTCTTTGGTATTACCATCTAACTTATTATACTATATTTTTTTCAGTGCCAGGGATTGACCCAAGGTCTTATATATGCATGGCCACTGAATCATCTCCCTAGCCCTAACCTACTGTATTTTTTATACATTAGTAAAAACGGACAATTTTATTATAAACATCATGACTATGAAAACAATGGTATTAATTTTTTGTTGTTGAAGCCAAACTCACTGGTTCTCAAGAGGCTACTTCCAGTGATGCTGGAGGAGAGGGAGGACAAAGGCGAGGTGACATATAGCTGAAAACCTCACCACAGGTCCTTGTAAGTGCTAGGCATGTGCTTAGTCACTGAGCCACCTCCCTGGCCCCTGGTCCCTATGAGACTATTGTATTAATCCTGGTGTGTTCAACATTTAGAACAATTCTCAGCACATGACAGTCACTTAAGAATTAATAAGGGGCTGGAGAGATAATACAGTGAATAGGGTATTTACTTCATATGTGATCAACCTGCATTCAATCCCAAGCATCTCCTATGGTCCCCCAAGCACCACCAGGAGTAATTCCTGAGTGCAAAGCCAAGAGTAACCCCTGAGCATTGTTCAGTGTGGCCCCAAATCAAACTAAAGTCCCACCAAATAAAAAAAGAATGAATAAACAGTTCTCCTGACCACGAGTCTTTACTCAATTCATTCCTCATGGCAATCTGATTTATTTTATATTTTATTTTTATTTTAATTATGTGCAGAATTGGAGATATAATCCAGGTCTCATATTTGCAAGGCATATATTTTGTTACCGAGTCACATGCCCAGACCCCTGATTTATTCTTTTTTAGGATGCAGAGTTCTTATTACTTCCCCATTGCTTTCAAGTTCAAAAATAAACTCCAACTTTTATGAAGATTTCCCACTTCTCCCTGACCTCCATGCTCCTCTGATGTTGGATATTACTCTCTTGGACACAAGTCTATGGTATATTGTCACTGTTTGTCCACGTGTCTGTCTCCTCCAAAGATTCTCTACATCTTAATACCCAGATTCTGGGAATAGATTACATGTGTGATTAAGTTGAGACAGGGAGCATTTGGATGTGTCTGGGTTGTGACCACTGTAATCACAAGTCCTTTAAAGATGAAAGGAGCAAGCAGAAAGATAGAGAAAACAAGATGGTGGCACTCAAAGGTTAGATTAGTGCAACTGCTGGATAGGGCCATGAGCCAAGGAATGTCAGCAGCCCCTTGGACCCGAAGAAAGTGAATAACAAATTCTTCCCATAAATCTCTAGAAAAAGCATAACTTTGCTGATACATTGATTTTAGTCCCCTAGGGTTATTTTGGTTTCTGATCTCCAGAACAATAAGATACGACATTTTTTGTTGCTTTAAGCTACAAGATTTGTGGAAATTTACTTCAGCAAGAATAAGGGATAGTTTAAACCAATCTTGATTTTAAAAATCTCAATCAATGTCAGGTGGTCCAAAAGCCCATTAGATTAGGTCCAACTGACATGAAAACAGCAGATCACAGGAACATTCCTGCTGTGTCAAGAAATGTGAATCTTGATGTCCAAAAGTAGAGAGAGAGTAAGGGGAAAACTGCCTGCCATAGAGGCAAGGGGAGTGTGGGGATGGGGGACATTGGTGGTGGAAAATGTGCACTGGTGGGGGGATGGGTGTTTGATCATTGATTAAAACTCAATCATGAAAGCTTTGTAACTATATCTCACAGTGATTCAATTTAAAAAAGAAAATGTGTATCTTGGTTGGAGATCTGATTTAAATAGCAGACCTATCACATGTGAAGCTTTGGATTCAATCCCCAGTACCACATGGCCCCAAGCACTTTCTGATGTGGCCCCCATGACTGTAGTGACCAAAAGGAAATGTATTTCATTAACTTATGTTGCTTAGAGAGCATAAGGGATAACAGATCAGGAGATACTGGTACAAAACAATAAGCTAAACCAACAAATTACCTGTTCGTCCTTCTGTTTGGGCTTCCTTACTAAAAAGGCCACCACTGACAGTTAGAATCTGGATCTTGTATTTCTTTCCTGGTATTAGGTCTTCAAATTTGTGTTGCTTGATAGTTTCTGGCTCAGATGTGTTACTCAGGAGGATCCCATTTTCACTTAGAAGCAGGATATCATATCTTTCTGCCACGCCAACTGCTTTTTGCCAGCTTACTATCAAGGAATGGCTGCTATATGCATTGTCTGCAGAAATTCCCTGGACAGATGCTGGGACTGCAAAGAATAGGAGCGAGGGAAATCAGGTTCTGCCACACTGAGTAAAGAAACCAAAGGAAAATAAATCTCCTAAATCAACTGAGGAGAGAGACAGTGCCTCTCTTTCACTGGAGTCGTGACACTTTTTGTATGTATTAAAGAGAAGAAAGTATTTCTTGCCCTGAATTACCCGTATAACTGCTTTGATTCTTTGGAGGGTTTGCTTCTCTTTAAACTTAAACAGATAAAATCTTTTTGTTTGTTTGTTTTTTGGGTCACACCTGGTGATGCTCAGGGGTAACTCCTGGCTTTGCGCTCAGGAATTACTCCTGGCAGTGCTCAGGGGACCATGGGGGATGCTGGAAATCGAACCCGGGTTGGGTGCATGCAAGGCAAACACTCTACCCACTATGCTATCGCTCCAGTCCTCAAACAGACAAAATCTTAAAGTCAAACAGGTAGAAAAATAAGTGAAGCTCACACAGATGAATATACAGAGTGATGCATATGCAAGTATCTTTTGGACAATACAAAAATGCTAAACAACTTTATATTTCAGCAAACATTGTTTGGATGACTAAATTACATCACCTGTTTTGACCTTCAAATCCACTTAATTTGAGCATTTTTGATTTTGTGCATTGCTAAGGCAAGTCACTGTGTCATTGTGGAGAACTGTCACTCATTCTACAGTTTGGTCCTTCTCAGGGTGGGCACTCACCTGTCCGCCCCAGAGCCTCTATCTGGTTCTTCAGAGAGCCACTGACAGAGGCAACCACAATCTGATACTGTTCTCCGGCCTCCAGTCTGTGGAACGTGTGCTCAGAGACATGCTTGGGGATCGTCTGGGACTCAACCTTTTGATTCTGCCTGTAGGCTGACACCGTGTAGGAATCAACATCTCCCCCACCAGGAGTCCAGTTCACTGTTAGGCTATCTGTTGCCCCATTGGGAGAAATGTGAATATTTTTGACAGTGCTTGGAACTGAAAGGGAAAACAAATTTAAAAGTTAGAGAATTAAAAGTAGAAAATCTCACCAAAGATTTCACGTTTTCTATGTTTCATATCTACTGTAAGATAACAGATAAGTGAAAAATTAGCTTCCATTTATAAATTTTTTTCTGGGTTTTCTGTATGGACAAGATGATAGAGGAAGTGAAGAGGAAGACTCAGGCTAGTGTGCAGAGATGATGAATGCCAGTGATATACTGAGGGTCCAAAACTGCCTTGGTTCAAGTCCTGGTTTTCTATATACTAGCTGTGGGAATATAAGGAAATTATTTAACTTCTGTAAGTTTTGTTTGCATTATTTGAAAGCTAATGAAATATTAATAATTAATGAAAGCTAACTGGAAATAAATGTTAACTATGACAGCAACACTCCTTAATAGGGGTTCCAGTGAAGCTCACCCAATACAGTTATTTACTTATACAATACAGTTATTTATTTAACCTGTAAGCCTCACAAACATGATCTATTCTCATCACTTCAACGCTATTTCTCTCAAAGATCTTTTTTCTTTCCTTACATCATACCTTACTTTTATTAGCTTAGCGTGGACAATCTCATTACCACTAACAAGATAACATTCTCCCTCAAGATAACATTGCTTCTCCCAAAGATGTGAGGGACAATCATTGCCATTGCCCCTCAAATCTTCAATCAAAATGCCTAGCTACCCAAGATGCTAACTACAGCCTCCATCTGCTCAGGTTCAAGACCCATGTTTCCCATTACCCGTGAGGCCTTCGATGAAGGTTGATTGCTGTACATCTCCACTGATGGTCAAGACAAGGATTTTATACTGGCGCCCTGGGGTGAGGGAAGTAAAGCGATACTCCGTGGCTGTGTTCACAAGGTGAAAAGGAGGAAATACTTTCATATCATTGAAGAGCAGCTGTATCTCATACTGGTCAACATCCCCATCAGCTCGTGACCAAGTCACCTGCAGGTCTTCAGTGCTCCGATTTCGCAAGGTTAGATCTTTAACAGGCTCAGGGACTGGGGAGAAAGATGAGAAAATACTTCAGGAAAGTGACAGATCAGAGTTTACCTACACAATAATTTATGAATCACATTCAAGGAGCTGGCAAACATCTCCTTTCCCCAAATAAACCACTTGAACTACTTCATGCATAATTAAAGAAGAAAAATTGGAAGCAACTATTAAAATTGCAATTTTTTCTGACATAAATCTTATATGTAAAGTGTTGCTAGAGTATAATTATAAAATGAGTTATGATCTCAATCAGAAGATAAAATAAAATGTCTACAACTTTGTCACAATGCAGTAGGACAGGGAATAAAAATGAGACATATGGCCTCCTCACTCCTCCATTGTGCTTGCTTTTATCTACTAATAAATATTCTATAATTATAGGTGTAAGCTTGACTAAACAATGTGAGCTCCAAGTGAGACTTGCTAGGAATGTAATTTACTGATCAGGAAGTAGAAACAGTTTAAGGATCAGTGCAATTATTACCCCAAGTCCTTCGAGCTCCCACGACCACCAGATTTTTTCAATCATTCCACTTACTTGTTCTCCCATTCCCTTGTTCACTGGCTTCATACTGTCCACTCTTTGTACTGACAGTAACACTGTACAATCGTCCAGGGACTAGTTTAACAAACACACACTCATTTTCAGACTTAGGGATGCTTTTAGTTTGAATGAAGTTGTTTTTGTTTTTAATGGTGACTTCATAGTGATCGAAGTCTCCTGTGGCATGCATCCAGGACACCTTTAAGTAGTCACTCCTAGCCGAGTTGCTGATGCTGACACCCTGGACCTTGTCAGGCACTGAAAAGTAAAACACACGACAGGTAAGTTCTCAGAGATTCTGAGTGGTAACTGATCACTGATGATAATCTGAGCCACAGCGGAAAGCAATTAGATTGTGTGTGTGTGTGTGTGTGTGTGTGTGTATTTATTTATTTTTGTTTTGGGGGACCGTACCTAGTGATGCTCAGGACTTACTCCTGATTCTATGCTGAGGGATCACTCCTAGAGGGCTCTGAAGTCTACATGTAGTGCTAGGGATCGAACCTGGGTCAGGCAAGTGCCTTACCTGTGTACTATCTCTCTAGCCCAGTGTGTGTGTGTGTGTGTGTGTGCACGCGCGCGCGCGCATGCGCGCACTTACTCAGATCACAAATTTTTGGAGTGGACAGACTGTTACACTACTTGGAGTGATTACATGGATCTCTTTAACAGAACCTGAACAATTCATTCTAATCCTCTTGTTTGCCTACACAAAATGTCATGTACAAGATGGAATGTTAAACATGAGAACTGATGATTAATATGAATGAGGGAAATTCAGTATACATTGGTGACTCAAGATATGATGAAAGTTAGCAAGCAGAGTATAACTCATACAGAAGAAAAATGAAAGAGAACACATGCAATTAATTAATACATGAAGGGATGTCTATTATTATTGGCATCAAGGAAATATAACTCAAGACTGTGGTAAAAAGAAAACCAAGCATGAAGAAAATGCCCATCCACAGGATACTGGGTAAATTAGCTGGTACACATACACAGTGAAATATTACATAGAAGCAATAATTAGTTTTTGGTTTTGGGCCACACCTGGCAGGGTTCAGGTCTTATTCCTGGCTCTGTGCTCAGGGATTACTTCTGGTGTTGCTTGGGGGACCATATATGGTGTTAGGGATTGAACCGGAGTCAACCATATACAAGTAGGTACCTTAACCTCTGTACTGTCTCTCTGACACTATTTTCTTACCAAAGAATACAAAGACATGACTTTTTGCAATTAACAAGACACAAAATATGAATGTCTTATATTACATGAAAATTTAAATCCCTGAAGACTACATATTACACAAAATATTTTTTTAATTTTAAAACAGCTTACCATTTTAGGAGCTTACAGTTCAGAGAAGATAGTACAGGAGATAAGATACTGCCTCGCATAAGGTCAACCCTGGTTTGTTCCCTGGCACAGCAAATGATCCCCTGAGCACTACCAGGAGTGATTCCTGAGCAGAGAGCCAGGAGTAAGCCCTGAACACAATCAGGTGTGACCTCAAACCCCTCCAAATTTAAACAATAAATTCATATAAATCTCATATTTTTAGGACTACACAAATAATAAAACTGTAAGATAGAAAGCATGAGATGAAAACGGGAGTTAATATGATGATTTCTTTGGGATTAATTAGTAAAGTAGCCAGCACAAGATATGATGTGAATTATTTTCAAGGTCCAATAGCACAATGCGTAGGGCATTTGCCTTGCATGTGGCTGGCCCAGGTTCTATTCCTCCGCCTCTCTTGGAAAGCCCAGCAAGCTACTAGGAGTATCTTGCCAGCATGGCAAAGCCTGGAAAGCTTTCCATGACGTATTTGATATGCCAAAAGCAGTAACAACAATTCTCACAATTTGTTGTGAGACGTTACTGGTGCCTGCGCGAGCAAATTGATGAACAATGGGAGGACAGTGCTACAGTGCATTGTCAAGGTCATAGCTTACGCTGGGTAATGGTTTCTCATGTATATATTAAGTGGTCAAAAATTATTAAACACTAAAAATAGTTTAGCTGCTTAATAATAAATAAAGATGATAACTGATGCATGGATTCTTTTTTTTTTTCCAGCCATGCCTTGTGGTAATCCTCAAGGATCAATCCTGGCAGGGCTCAGGGGATATGTTGTATTGGGGTTTGAACTGGGATTAGCTGCATGCAAGGCAAGTACCTTAACTCCTGTGGCCTAATGCATGGTTTCTTAAACCAAGAACTACAATTATAGCTTTTTTGTGTACTTAAGGGTCTCTAAAACAAATATGTAAGCAATTCTGAGTAGTTGTAGTTTTCCTTCTTTGGCTTTCAGTTAATCAGTTGATTGGACAAAGCTTGTGTCTAAGTTTTCTTTTCCACTTTCCCACAATATACATAAAGGTTGAGAAATTTCAATATTTTGGCATCTTAGTCACATTTTTCCTGCTCATAATATTTTGGCATCTCAGCTTCATTTTTCATGCCTGTCCTTTATTGTTCATTGTGTACTGATTAGCTTTTTACTGGAATATCTCATCATAGATATAGAGCTAGGAGAGTATAATTTTCCCCAAGTATTTGCCTGAACCAATTTCAGTTTTGCTAGAATTCACTCATCAAAAGGAAAAGGAAAACAATTCTGAAGTGACGTTATGCATAGGCTAAGAGAAGTCAATGATCCTGGCAATTTACTGAAGGCAAAGCAACTATTACAGAAAGAAACATGAAGGCTGGCTACATTCTAAGTCAATAGGAGCCTCTCCAGGTGGAACTGGAAGTAATTGCTGAGATTTGCTTTGTTGCACGGCGAGGTGATGGAAAACAGACTGAGAAAAATTGATAATTTCACCCAAGATACAGAGCAAGAATATTAGAAAGGAAAAGGGCATTAACAGAATCAGCCCAAATCAACAAGACAACAACTCAGACATGACTCGCCAGTTAAACTAACTTGTTGGGGGTAATTGTTTTCCTTGATTAGTCATGCCCCAATGCAAGTTTATGCTGGTAAAAAGTCAGGAAGAAGGACTGATTTTTTTGCATTTAAAAAGTCTTATAAGGCTTTGACAATATGAAAATCATCTGAATAGTAAACATTTATGAATTGACACCAAAGGGAAAACTAGATCTTATAATTGCACGACAAGTTCTTTTATTTCTGGTGAATTTTATTTATGTTTCAAGTGGCTCAACAAGATATGCTGAAAATGAAGGTCTTCTTTTCAGATCCTGAGCTATTGTTGTAATCATTAGGCTTTATTCAAATTTAAGAAATTTCTCCTTTGAAGGGAGGGTGAATGAGCCACATCCAGTGATACCCACATGTTCTTCCTGGCTCTGTGCTCAGGGGAGCATATGTATATTCAGAATAGGGTTTTGGGGATACAAAGCAAGCCCCTTAACTCTGGTACTACCCTGAACCCTTAAACAATATTTCTTTGTATACCTGATTTGTGATTTCAGGCATAGATAGTGTGATGGATATAAAGAATGCTGGTTGAGCAGGTCAACCTTCAAGGCCACTAGTCAACCATATGACCTTGAAGAAACCACAGTTTTATCTCTGGGATTTTTATTAAAAATGGGGAGATGAGATTAGATCATTCAGGTCCCTACCAATGTTTGCATGCTTTAACAAAATTAATGAATGATTTTTAAACTTTTTTTGTTGTTATTTTCTGGATTATGCCTGGCAGTGCTCAAGGATTACTCCTGGCTCTGTGCTCAGGAATCATTCCTGACAGACTCAAAGGACCATATGGGGCACTGGGGATCAAATCTGGGTGGGCTGCATGCAAGACAAGTGCCCTGCCTGCTGTACTATTTCTCCATCCCTGATTTCTAACTTTTTGTTTGTTTGGGGGCCATACCTGGGTGCTGTTCAAGGCTTATTCCTAGCTCTATACTCAGAAATCAATCTGGCAGGGAGCAGGGGACAATATGGGGTACCAGAGATTGAAACTGGACTGGTCATGTGTGAAAGGCAAACATCCTACCCACCATACTATCTCTGATTTTTAACATTTTTTAGTTCACAGAAATTGTGAGAATCTGGGCAAAAGCCATGAACTCTATTTCCCAAAGATATGCACAAACCTTCTCTATTTCCAACAACTTCACAAATAATTTGGGGGTGCGGGGTTCTATATACCAGGAGATCACCTGACCAAAACATCTGATCTATGTGATTTATTATTGATTAATTATCTATTGAGTACCTGCTAGGCTTTAGATCTTGTGCTAGGCAATAGGATGATGCCAACTATCCCAGATCCTTAAGGAAAAACTTAGACTTTAAGATACAAAATTCAGGGATGGTGAGTTAGTACTCTTGTCTTGCACACAGGCTTTTGCCTTGCATATAGCCAGGTTCAATCTCCAGCATCCTATATAGTCCCCTGAGCATTGCCAGGGGTGATCCCTGAGTGCAGAGCCAGGAGTAACCCCTGAGCATTGCTAGTGTGGTCCCCAAACTACAAACAAAATAAAATAAAATATGAAAATCTACTTATAGCTGAGCAGATAAGATTTGACAAATCTTAATGTCAACTGTTCAAAAGGGAGATAGTTCAAAGGTCTGGAGCAAAAAAAAGGGGGGGATCAGACTAGAGCACATGCTTTGCATGTAGGAGGTCCAGATTCGACCTCAACACTGCCTGGTCCCCCCCCCCCATGCCCCCCACTTCAGGGCAACCCCTGAGCTTCAAGCTGAAAGTAGCCCTGATTACAGGTTTGTCCTCTTCTCTCAAAACTCCCAAAGAAACAAAACTTAATGTCAACTTTAAACATAAATATCAGCTATAAATCCCAGACAATGTAAGTCCCTTGGGAACATAGTAGCTGTCTAAATTTAGTTTCTTCTAGCATATTGAAGAGCTCTCAGACCTCATCTTTGCTAAGATTTGTTTCCCTATTCTGAGAACGCTGAAATTTCACAGTTTGACCCAGCATGAGAAAAGGAGTAACAGTCATTTTGACAAACAGACATTTAGGACAGGGGACTTTGAAGGTATAATTCAGAAATAATTCAGAAATGGGCTTAAATCCAGAATCTGACTCTAAAACCTGGTTAATAACTGCTGAGCGAATTACCTCCCCTCATTGAACTTTGGTTTCTTGCTTTGAAAAAAATGGGCATAATTGACAGTTAAAAACCCAAACGAGAAGTTCTTAGAACTAAGTTATTTAATATACATCAAGTCAGGTCTAGTAACCCCAAACCGTGAAACAGAATGACTTGTTGCTGTGCGTGAACAGAAGGTGAATCCTGCATGAAAACAGCATTCATCTGACTCCAAAGGGAATCTCTGCTCCTACACGGGAGTTTCTTGGGTCAAAATATGAAGACACAATAACCGTGTGATGACAACAGTCCCTCTCATACTATCCTTGAAGACTTTTATGGATTTCTGTGTTTTGTTTGATTTGTTTGGGGCCACATCCTGGGATGCTCAGGGCTCATTCCTGGCTCTGCGCTCAGGGACCATGTCTGGCAGGCTCTGGGGACCATAAGGGGTATCTGGGATTGAGTTCGGGTCAGTAGAGTGCAAGGCAAGCATCCTACCCGCTGTACTATTGCTCTGGCCCCTGTTGCAGATCTCTAAGGTCTGCAGACACAGAATCAACAGGTTCCCACAGAGATCAGCCTCCCATCCCTGGCAGAGCCTCACCTGTCCGCTCTTGGCTGAATGTGTAATTTTCGTACTTGCCACTCCTTGTAGTTACAGTCACGTTGTAGAGGCGCCCGGGTACAAGGTTGCTGAAGGAACATTCGCTGACAGATTTGGCAATAACGAGCGACTGGACTACCGTGCTGCCATGGGCGAGGGTCACTACGTAGTTATCCACGTCCCCCGGAGCCGGCAGCCAGGAGATGCCCAGGTAGTCACTACGCCCAGAGTTGTTCACTGTGACACCACTCACACTGGAAGGGACTGTGATTTAAAAGAAGGAGAAGTTTGTCAAAGAGAAGCACCATCAAAAGCCCAAGCATGGCGAACACAGACCAATGTGTTCAACAGGTCTGTGCTCAATCTTGAAGGTTGAATACAGACCTGGTCAACTATTACAGAAAGAAACATGAGGCTGGCCAGGTCAATCTTGAAGCTAATTACCCTAAAGGTTAGAGGAAGGGAGAATTCACCTTTGGCATCTTGAAGCTGAGTGCTCTTCTGGAAGGCAGGAAACAATCAACATGCAAATGCAGAGAAGTGGGGAGAGAGGGCAGTGGACTGGAGCCTGGCATGCACAGGGCTGGCCAGTAGGATCCCGGCACTGCCCGGCTTCCCAAGCTCTGCTGGGGAGTACCCTTTCTTCCCGCAAAACAAGGGAGCTCTTTGGATGCCTCCCAACTACAAGAATGTGGTTTCTGCTGTTTTTTTTTTTCTTTTCTTTTTTGGTCACATGTGGCGATGCACAGGAGTTACTCCTGGCTCTGCACTCAGGAATTACCCCTGGTGGTGCTGAAGGGACCATATGGGATGCTGGGAATCAAACCCAGGCCAGTGTGCAAGACAAACGCCCTACCCCCTGTCTATTGCTCCATCCCCAGGTTCTGCATTTTTATGGTAGTGGTGTTTGTAAAGTATGTTAAGTGGAGGAGCTTTTATGCATATGTACCAGGTTTCCTCTGTAGGAAAAGGAGCATTCTAACAATCCAAATCCATCTTACCTTATGATTCAAATCAAATTTATCAATACAGCAAAGATATTTGTGGGGGGAAGTGAAGAATATGTCAGAGCTTTTTTTAAAAAAAAACAGCGATAGTTTTGATCTTCTTGTGATGAAGCTGGCTATTTCTGCAGAGTCTAATCATTAACACAGCTACAGGGGTAAATGTATTTTCTCTTTGCAAAGTATTTCCTGCCCTCTAGAGGCAAGAAGTAAACCTAACTGCTTCCCCGAGAAGCAACAACTCTGGGAAAGGGATGAACTAGGGCTAGAAAAATCCAATGTGGTGATCAAGGTTTTTGTGATATAACCACCATCACCTGCTCATTTCAATGATGATTTAGGGTCACAAACATTTACTGAGAACCCACAATTTCCCAGATGCACAGAAATGGAAGAGATGTGGTGCCTTCAAGAAGCTAGAGGTACAGTTTGCAAATCAGTCACTGAGTAACAGTATGACATCAATCAGAACAATTGTGATATTGAGTAATAGCATATCATATACCCAACATAACAGCACAGTACAACATACAGCCAGTAATGAACCTCAGAACTAAATATTAGAATTAAATCCTATCAGGACCATGAGATATACTATAGGGTTGAGATACATGAGGCCAACCTTGATTTGATCCCTGGTTGATCTCACATCATCCCTGGAACATCACCTGGTGCAACCTTGGAGGTCTCTGAGCACAGTTGGGACTAATCTCCGGCACCACAGGGCCTGAGCAGCACCCTATCTTCCGGTTATTTGAGAATTACCTGGAGGGCTTCTGCACCTCCTGAGTACCTCTTGGGAAGCCCTATCCCCAGCCCCAAAAAGAGAATCCTTAAATATATGAATCTTAGTATTGTTTCATCATAAGTTGATTAATTTCTGCCATTTTCACTTGAATATGAGAACGTAACATATCCTTCCAATACGCTCTTGATATAAATCCCAAATTCTTCTATAAAGTCACTTCCCTATCACCTCAAATTGTGAACAGTACACAATCAAATAATTTTGCTAATACTATCCAATGTATATGGACATTTCCTAAATACCAAATTGAACATTAGTCATACTTTATATGCAGTCTGCCTGCCTTCCTTCCTTCCTTCTTTCCTTCCTTCCTTCCTTCCTTGCTTCCTTTTGTAGTATATAGTTTTTCCTCCATTCTAAATGATATTTGTACTTTTTTTGGTTTGTTTCATTTTGTGGTAATACTCACGGCTTTATTCTGACTATATGCTCAGAGGTTGCTCCTAATGGTGCTCGGGGGACCATATTTAGTGTCAGGGAGTGAACTAGGGTCAGTCACGTGCAAGGTAAGGCCCTTAATCCCTGTACTGTCTCTGGCCCTCAGGTCTGTACTCTTAAGGAAGCACTGTACTGTCCTCTAGTTGTTCATTGATTTGCTCGAGCGGGCCCAGTAACATCTCCATTGTTAGACTTGTTGTTACTGTGTTTGGCATATTGAATACGTCATGGGGAGCTTGCTAGGCTTTGCCATGTGGGTGAGATACTCTCAATAGCTTGCCTGGCTCTTGGAGACGGGCAGACGAATAGAACCCGGCTCGGCTCAGCTCAGCCGGCCAAGTGCAAGGCAAACGCCCTACTGCTGTGTTATCTATCCAGCCCACTCTTAGGGTATGTGAAATAAATAATTCATTTATATTTATTCATATTTTCTCTCTCCTCAAAACTTTATGTTCATTCTTTAGAGAATTTCTTATTTTTGTGTTACATAATAAAGTTTATATAATTTTTGTGCAGTACATGTCAAATACTGATTCCTGCTGTAATTAAAATATAGGTATAAAAATAATTACAAAATTCAAGCACAAAAATTTGTAAGTCTACAACTGTACCTCATGGTGTTTCACTAATAAAAATTTAAAAGAGAATGATTACAAATTCCACTTATTTCCAGTGAAGTCAGATACCAGATTATTTCAGTATATCACAGAAAGTGGGATGGAACTTGTGTGAGAATCTGACTAATTCCTCACTAAATCACATCTCTTTCCTTTAAGACACATAGTTAGACAGTTGTTCTGGCCATATTACTGTGTTCCTGGCCTGTGAGATGTGGGTAGAAGTGATGTATTTACTTCCCAGGTCTGGTAATCTTCCCTCCTCCACCCACCTCCCTTCTTTCAAGAACTGGGTAAAGCTCTGAAAACCTAAGAAAGAAGAGTCAGAAAGGAAGCATCAGAATCTGGGATCCCAAATTACTGATTCTGGAGAAGAATTAAGCAGAAGAATTTTCCAACCTAGTTTAGTTGTGTAAGTGGAAATAAATGTCTAATCTGAGAAGTACAATTGTAATAGGCTAGGAAATGGATGCAAAATTCTTTTCAACTCTTCTCCCCAACCTTCTTACCATTTTTCCTTTCCCATGCTGATACTCAGTGTTAGGATGAATTATTGGGGCTGGATTTTAAAATGGAGGTGTAAAGACTTAGCGGTGACATAGCTAGGATCACAATCTAGGCCTATTGAGTCTCAAGCAAAGCTTTTTAATCTCCTACCCCCAATCATGTTTCACTGATGGATGAAGCCAAAAAACACTAACAGACAAAAACAATGGCTTAGAAAGGACACAGACAACATTGCGGGCTTCCAGTGGACAAGAGAAATAGGCATGTACAGCAGCGAGTTTCTACAAAGACCATGAAATATATTTTTAATAACTCAATTGCTCTTTGGGGATAGTTAATAAAGTTAATGTTCCTTCAGTTCATGAAATAGATGAGATTTATGACTTTAGAAAAAAGATATATCTATGGTGCTTACAGGTGATACTCAGAATCTGAGCACTGGAAATGGGAGATTTGAAATGTCATTTATTATGATTAATAAAATCAAGTAACTGGAATTGCCAACCTGACTCTGGGTTTACTAATAATTTTAAAAGCTTCAACTTATTTATTTATTTTCTTTCTGAAGAACTGAAGCACACATTGTATATTATTTATTTATATTCTTCCTTTGTGTTATATAGGAACAAGTTAGAACAACTCTTTGAAGCCACACCTCTGTCTGACATATATGACACATTTGTTTGCTTAGATCATTGCCATATTTAAAAATGAGATCCTGGAGGTCAAAAAATATTGTTTATGTGACATATGGTTTTATTGTGAAATGCTGCTTATATGTGATTTGGTAATCTTATTAAGTCAGTGTTTTAAAACAGGAGTCAGAGAATAATTTACTTTCTCTGTTGAAACCAAAAATAAGAGTGGAAGATAATTTAACAAAACAGTCATCATCTTTTAAAAAGCTTAATTCACAAGAAATCTAGCACAGTGGTAGGGCATTTTGCCTTGCACGCAGCCAACATGGCCGACCCGAGTTGGATTCCTCCGCCCCTCTCGAAGAGCCCGGCAAGCTACCGAGAGTATCTTGCCTGCACGGCAGAGCCTGGCAAGCTCCCCGTGACGTATTCGATATGCCAGACACAGTAACAACAAAGTCTCCAATGGAGACATTACTGGGCCCGCTCGAGCAAATTGATGAACAACGGGAGGGCCTTTACCTTTTACCTTTACCTTTTACCACAAGAAATCAATTGAATGAAGAAATACACTTCAGAATAAAATATCTGTCATGTTATGAAGTTCTGACAAATTTATTGGAGATTTTAGCAAACCCAAAATCTGTTCTTTTGTTTGCTTGTTCAGTTTTTTTTTTTTTTGCCTAGACCCAAATAAGCTGGGCAGCTACTCCCCATTGGGTGCTGGGATTGGGTTGGGGTTGTTTACCGGGTGATGCCAGGGACCGAACATGGGCCTCTTGCATGCAAAGCATGTGTACTAGCTTTTAGAGTCATCTTCCCAGTCCTGCAAATTCATTCTTTGTTATCACCTCCTATCACCAGTTTTCATTTCCAGGAGAGCAATGATGTGTTGGGTGGTACTGAAACTTGGCATTCAAAGAGATAATGATTTATTTTAGGACACATGAAAAAAAATTCTAGAATGTGCGCTGGACATTCCATGTGCTCAGAACCCTACTGGTCACAGACACTCCACTTACCTGTCCTTCCCTCCACCACCGCTTGTCGGGAAGAGATCCCGCCACTCACTGTTGTGACCACCACAGAGTAGAGGCTGCCTGATTTGAGAGCGTGGAAGCTGTACTTGCTGGTCTCACTGGAGACACTTTCATTTTTGATGACCACATTTTCATGGATCAGTAAGACTTGGTAGAATTCTATGTCGCCCAGGGCTCGGGTCCAGTTAGTAAATAGGCTGTTGGTTGTTCCTTGATTGACCACATGCAAGCCTGTCACTTGGGCAGGCACTACAACACAATAGGGAGAAGCAAAAAGAGATCACACTTAGTTAATATGAGAAAATGTAGGGGGAGGGAGGGGAAAAAAGAAAAAATGTAAAGGAAGGAGTAAAGTTTTAGCAATATCTTGAACTGCTATATCTGCTATAGTCTTTCTTCCTATAATATATAGACTCTGTAGAGATTGAAATATTATGAAAAATATTTAAATGCAAAATCAAAATTAATTCACACACGGATGAGATATATATCTAGTAGGTTTGGATTTTAAAATTTCAAGTACTTAAAAACTATTAAGCTTAAATAAAACTCCACCCTTCCCTCTTGTTCTTGTCATGACTGGGGCTCATGTACATGTTCAGCTCTGGTGCTCACACAGTTGGTTGTGGGGCTCTCTGGGGGTGCATTCCTTTTCAGTTGAGGTGCTTAAAATACACATACTCAATGGGGGTGGCACGTTTTGGATGTGGTGCTTATTCTCACTCATTGGGCTGTGGGAATCTTGACCATGGTGCTCGCCTGTGATTTTAGGGCTCACCAGTGATTGCACCCTTAGTTTCAGTGCTTGAATAGACCATGATGTGGTGCAGACAGAAATCATTAGTAGTGCTGGGGACCACAGACAGTAGAACTGTGAGGGACAAATAACAGAGCTGCCAGAGTCTCACTGGACACATGTGGGTACATCAGGGATAAACTTGGCCTGACCCTTGCAAGACTGGTGCTTTAGCCACTGAGCCATCTCCTGTCCTTAGACTTATATTTTTGAAGTTTATTTATCTAAAATCTGGTTTTCTCTGTCCTTACAGCAGGAGAACTTAAAGCCACCTGGTCTACTTGATAGTTATCAGATAGTACTGAAAAACATCACTTCAACCTGATAATTATATCATAGTTGAGGAAACTGGCTAATTATTTAGTGACACATTCTCAAGAGGACTATTATTATTATAGTTGCTTAAAATGTTAATATAAAATACATCATCACATTAGCAAAACTTAAAAAAACTTTATAATGCTAATGATAACTAGTGTATTAATTATGGGCTTGTGCTTTATAGACAGTATAAATTTTGATGCCATTCAAAATTTCATAAAGTTGATTTTGTTCTTTTATTTACTGATAAGGAAGTCAAAGATTATAAAAGTAATCTTTGTATGATAATGCTAACAGTCAACTTGGAATCCAAGTCTGATCTGTCTAATATGAGCTTGTGCCCCTTTCCTAATTAAAAACTCTTGTAACCTTCTACTTGTCCATTAACACATCTTTTCTACAGAAAGTAAAGTTTGTATATCCATCGTATATCTTCTTTGTCTCACTTTCTTGAATTATAATCTAGTTGATTGGAACTCTAACCTACCCGTTCTCAGAATTTACTGACTTCAGGCTAAGATAGAAATATATTCATAAAACTATTACTATAGGTATATTAGAAGAATCAACTCTACTTGTACAATGTGTTTATATTTTTTGTTCCTGTTGAGAGGAACTCATTAGCTATTAAGAACCCCATGAGGTACCAAAAATACATTGATTAGAATAGTTAAACCTGAAGCTGGAATCAAATCCGGGATTCCTGCATGCAAAGCACTGAGCTATCTCTCTAACACAATGATGAAAATGACATAAATTCTAAACCAGTATTTTAAACTTCCATTTCGTGCTCTATGGTGGGCTACATACTGTGAAAATCTCACAAAACTATATAGTTTACAACTACACAGTTGAATAAAATATAAAAATGTAATTATATGAACAGATGTAAAGATTATAAGGAACTTCAGACAGTAAGACAGTTGGGTCTCAGATGCAGACTTGCTCTTAAGGGCATCTTTCAAACATAAATTTAAGTTTGATATTAGAGCTTTTCAGACTAAGAGATAAGAGACAAAGTGAAGGACCTTCCTAAGAAGAGAAATTGCTTATGTGACATTTTATAACACTGTATATGTGAAGTATAAGGGTAATAAATGTTCTCTTTTTACTCCCTACATCATTTTATCATTTTTAACACTGGGTGGAGAAGAGAATTTCTCCCGCCTCAGCCCTCAGAAAATTCATAACCTCAAGATAGTTTCAGTATACTTGCAATACAAATTTATAAAACCATAGTGATCAAAAACTCTTAAATAGGGGTGGGAGCGATAGCACAGCGGGTAGGGCATTTGCCTTGCATGTGGTCAACCCGGGTTTGATCCCTGGCATCCCATATGGTCCCCCCAGCACCACCAGGAGTAATTTCTAGGTGCAAGAGCCAGGAGTAACCCCTGTGCAAAGCTGGGTGTGACCCAAAAAGCAAAAAACAAACCAAAAAAACCTCAAATAGATAATTTAGGTTAAAATACAAATGGGTTGCTAGTAGTCCTAGACCTGAGAGAATTAGCTAAAAGAAAAATTCATTCTGAAGCCCATCTTCAAACAAGGCTAAAAGAATCCCGAAAGACTTTAAATTCAAGGTATATGAATTAATAGTATAGAAATCACAAATATTTACTTCCATAACAAAACCACAAATATTTACTTTACTTACTAAAGGAATAAATATTTGTGAGCAAAATGCAGCAAGAATCAATAGACAACAGGATTGAACTCTTGAAGATTTCGGATATTATAGTTATGATACACAGAGCATAGCTCACAGCAAGGAAAGAAGAGAATGGAAATAAAAAGAACAATGGAGCACAAAACAGATTAGAAAGAGAACCAAAGAGAATGTTTAAAAACATAATAATTAAAATTTAGAAGTCAGAGTGAATTATAAGGACTGTGGTGGAGGGTTTTGGACACTTTGGTGGTAATAAAGGTGCAGTGTACATTAAAACCACAAATGTTAACATTACCGTAGTAACCATGTTACCTAAACTACAATGATGCTGAAAAAGTTTTTAAAAATCGGTTAGATATCTAGAGCCAAATAAAGACTAATTAAATCAAATTAGGGCTGAGAAAAGTAGACTAAAGCCCAGGAAGAAAATACATGGAGACATAAAATGTAATTTTCATTTCATTTCATTTCATCATCCTGTTATTCGTCGATTGCCTCGAGCAGGCAACATCTCTTTCATCCTAGCCCTGAGATTATATTCAAGGCTCTTTAGAAGAATGAGACCCAATAAAATGTAATACATAGTAAATATATGTGAAATCTTAAATAGATTTTATGCACAAATAAGAAAAGATCTGGGTCTATGTGTATTTACTGTTTATTTTCATAGCTGATCTGATTCTGAAATTGATTGGCTTGTATTTTAGATCCTATTAGACCCTATGCCTATTTGTAGACTACCAGCAGAAATTCTTCCCTCTCTGCAGAGCTGCTCTCGCCTAGAGCATTCCCACCAACTCAAAACATGTTACTATTAATTTTTTTCCTTAAGAATAATCTTTTATAAAACATATTCCCTCTTTTAAACACTGTTCTATTTCTCTGTTCTCATTTGCAGCAAAACTCTTTGGAAATATTTTCCTTTGCTGTTTCAATTTTTGTAAAATAAATCAAAACAAAGATTTTTTTTAAAAGCAGTGAAACAAAGGCTGAAATTAGTAAAATATAAAACAAACGATAAATGAGGATCCACAGAGCAATGCCTAGTATGTAAAATGTAAAGGTAATTAATTAAAACACTCGTAAGTTGAATATTAAACAATTCAGCAGACAGGATACTTTTAAAGTCTGAAATTTATACCTGTTCTTCCTTTTGTTGAAGATGAATTTTTTAAGTCTCCACTAATACTAGTGACTGTAGCTATGTATTTTCGTCCAGGCACCAGGTCAGTAAAAGTGAATTCTTTGACATCTTTGGGGAGTGACTTGTGGATGAGTAAGAGGTCTCTGTCGACCAGTGAGATGATGTATTTCTCCCATTCTGCTACAGGGGTCTGCCACATGACACTTAGTGAGGTCTCATTGGCATGTTTAACACGAAGTTGGAGGACAGCCAGGGGGACTGAAGAAAAAGCAGTGAAGACTTGGGTCATTGATGATCTCAGATACAGTTCAGTGTTATTTAGAAAGCTGCTCTTATCTCTCTATGCGAGTCTTCTAGTTCAGCATTTCTTTTTTGAATGCTGATGCCTCAAGAAAGAAAAAAAGCTAAACACAAAAAACTTTTGCTCGTGTAATATAACCAAAAATAAGGATTCAAATGCATACTATTGGAAAGTATTTTTCTGGGTAATTTAGTTTTGGTCATATACTATTTTACAAGTGTTTATTTCTTTATTTAAATTCTTAGAACAAAAATGTATAATATTATATAATATAATCCTGTGAGACACAAAACCACAAAGACCCATGTTTGAGTACTTAGGTGGAACTTAGAGAATTTGTTACTCCCATAGCTTGAAAGGCCAAAAGTTTTATTCCCCATAATTTCTGAGGAGGTGATACTAATATGATATAATAGGAAGATTATTTCAATTGTATTATAATATGATAATAGGGTATATAGCTGATAAGTGATAATTGTATCTGACTGAGGATTTCTTTTACATAAAGAGCAGAAATTGCTTTCATTTTCTTAAAAGGTTCCATTGGTATAATTTCTAGGAGACAATATTAGAAAGCAAAGTGTTGCCCAAAAAAGAATAAGAAAGCTAAACTATGGAAGAATCATGTGTGCAAAAGAAAAAAATTCTGTGATTTTTGCAAGAAAATGCATAATTCCACTCTAACTGACTCTCTAAATCTGTCTTCCTTCTTACATATAATCAAAATAAACTAGACCGTTTTTATCAAACTTTGTCTACTTTAACTTACCTTTTTTGCCTTAGTGGTACAATTTAAGAAAAGCTCTTTTAAGAATTATATCAATAGTAAAAAATGTACATTGGTGAAGGGACATTGTATGACTGAAACCCAGTCATGACCAACTTTGTAACTGTGTGTCTCATGGTGATTCAATTAAAAAAATTATGTCAGCAAAATATATAATGATGACAAACCTTTATCCTTGGGTTACATGACTCAGATTAACAAGTAGCGTGGGGAAAGACAGGAGAAGAAATGAAGAGGTGGATCATTGGTGACATAGGGACAATGGTAGAAGATAATGGGCACTTTGGTGGTGATGAAGGTGCAGTAGCTTCATACAGCAATACCATAAATGTTGACACATAAATGTTAACCATCGAACCTGAACTATAATAAGAAAAATTTATAAAAGATGTCAATCTATTGACAGCACCTATAAGCACTTGACAGTATTTTTAAGTTATCTGAAATGAATTAGATATAAATTATTGGTGAGGACATAGACAATTGTTCTGTGAAATATTAAAAATGTTTAGTTTAAACTTATGTAGGTGATGACATCATCCAGTGGATATTAACGTTTGGAAGTTAAAATGTTATATATGGAAAGCTAAGGAGGTGTTTAGGTCTTTTGACATTCTTATAAGAAGAACACTGAATACATATAGTTATTTCCTTATTTTCAGGTTAAGATACTAAGGATATCTGGATTTTTAAGTATGGAGTATTTTATATCACTGGGATTTTTTGTAAAAGAAATTTTGAGAATGGAAGGCAACTCTTCTCTTCGAAGATTGAAGAAACACAGAGGTTGTGAGTTGCCCAAGGAATCACAATAGAGTGGTGACAGCAAGAATACCAAAATATATGTTTCAGTATTCTCATTCTTCTTTGCTCGGAAATACAAATGTACCCCTCTCCACTTTAGAATCTTTCTTAGATCCCTGAAGCTCCCATACCAGGCACCACCAAGTCAAGGCAATAGTACTCTAAAGGTTGTCTTGTGAAAAGGGTTAGTCTTCATTCACAGATTGTTTCATTCCTATTCTTTTGCTAATTAAAGAATCTTTTGGGGGGCTAGAGTGATAGTCTATCAGTAGGGTGCTTGCCTTGCAGGGGGCTGACCTGGATTTGATCCTCAGCATCCCCAATAGTCTCCCCAGTATCACCAAGAGTTCTTTTTGTGTGCAGAGCCAGAAACAGCCCCTGAACAATGCCAGGTATGGCCCAATCTGACTCCTGCAAATACAGATAAACTTTCTTTTTCTTTTTGGATCTCACCCGGCAATGCACAGGGGTTACTCCTGGCTCATGCACTCAGAATTACTCCTGGCAGTGCACAGGGGACCATCTGGGATGCTGGGAACTGAACCCAGGTGCATGCAAGGCAAATGCCCTATCTGCTGCTATTGTTCCAGCCCCTAAATAAACAATTTTTTAAAAAGTCTTTCTTTTATAAATTTATAGAGTAACTAGTGAAAGTGATTTTCCATGAAACTATTTTTATTTTTTGGGTTTTTTTTGTTTGTTTGTCCCTTTTTGGGTCACACTCAGTGATACTCAGGGGTTTCTCCTGGCTCTGCACTCAGGAATCACTCCTGGTGGTGCTTGGGGGACCATGTGGGATACTGGGGATTGAACCCGGGTGGGCTTTGTGCAAGGCAAATGCACTACTTGCTGTACTATCACTCTGGCCGGAAACTATTTTTAAAACTTAAATGACTCACAGGCTGGAGCGATAGCACAGGGGGCTAGGGCGTTTGCCTTGCAAGTGGCCAACATAGCTGACTCGAGTTCGATTCCTCCGCCTCTCTCGGAGAGCCCGGCAAGCTATCAAGCGTATCTCGCCCGCATGGCATTCATATCCGATATGCCAAAAACACAGTAACAATTGTCACACTTGGAGACGTTACTGGGCCTGCGCGAGCAAATCGATGAACAATGGGAGGACAGTGACAGTGAAATGACTCACATCCTACTACAGGCTATAAGTCTACAATGTTTCAAATTCAGGGAACACTGGGGCATGACAAGGACAGGTATTTTGGTGATTTGGGAGAATGACTACAGGAAGGGTCCAAGACAATATGAATATTTCTTACCTGTTCTGCCATGGCAGCGTTTAGAATTTTTCAGATTTCCACTCTCAACAGTGACTTCCACTTCATATTGTCTTCCTGGTATGAGTCCCATGCCATCGATGACATAGTGTGTTTCTTCCTTCCTCACTGTTGTGTTCAGCATCATTAAAGATTCATTAAAGAGCAAGATACGATACTGCTCCCAGTCTCCAGCAGGGGGCGACCAGCTCACTACGAGGGACTTCATGGAACCATTGCCATTTGCCTCCAGGTTTCCAACTTTCTCTGGAACTAAATGATGAAACAAACGTCAAAAAAGGAGATAATAAAAACTGAAAGTAAAGATACCATCTTACTTTGTATAGGAAGCAGTGGATAAGAGATTTAGTATCTAAAGTTCAAATATTTCTATTCCTTTCGGATGTTTATGGTTTGCAATTAAATATTCTTTCCTCATTTTAAAGATATTTGAAGATATACAAAAAAAGTATGCTAAATAATTTGAGTAATATATCTCTAATGCAATATTCTGTAACACGCTTAATAATCTTGTTATGTGAACATGTTACTGGTTGCATGCAAGTTCTAGAGATAATATTTATATTGCTTCCGAAGATCATGGCATTGATAGATATGACAATTTTGGGAGAGAAAAGAGATGCTGGATTTTGTTGTGGTCATAAAACATTCCTCTCCAGAGGGAAATCTGTGATGTGGGTGGCTGAAAATGTACATTGGTGAAGGGACAAGTGTTGGAACATTGAATGACTGAAACCAAATCATGAACAGCTTTGGTAACTGGGTATCATATTGTAATTCCATTTTTTTTTTTTTTTTGCTTTTTGGGTCACACCTAGAGATGCACAGGAGTTACTCCTGGTAGTGTTCAGGGAACCATATGGGATGCTGGGAATCGAACCCGGGTTGGCCACGTGCAAGGCAAACGCCCTACCCGCTGTGCTATCTCTCCAGCCCCCCATTTTTTTAAAATTCCCTTTTCCAATGGCAAAGATCTTATCATTATTTTTTTTAAAAAAATTTAAAAAAGGGCTGGAGCGTAGGGCACTTGCCTTACACACGGCTGACCTGGGTTTGATTCCCAGCATACCATACGGTCCACCAAGCACTGCCAGGAGTAATTTCTGAGTGCATGAGTCAGGAGTAATCCTTTGCAATGCGGGGTGTAAACCAAAAAGAAAAAAAAATAATAATTTAGGGCCTCAGGTCAAGGATGTTGTTCAGTAATAAGAGTACATGCCCAACATGTGTGAGGTCGGTTAAATTCCTGGCACCTTAGGTCTTTTGACATTCTTATAAGAGAAGCAAGAAAAGCAAGAAAAGTGGAGTAGGGAGAAATAGTCCGGTGGGCAGGGTGTTTGCCTTGTACACAGCAGGCCCAGGTTTAATCCCTGGCACCCCAAAAAGTCTCCTCATACTCTCGAAGAGTGACTGACCCCTGAGTACAGAGTCAGGAGTAAGCCCTGAGCACCATCAGTTGTGGTACACAAACAATACAAAGAAACAAAACCAAAAACCAACCCCTCAAACAAAGAGCCATCTTTCTTTTTAGAGAGGCTTCTACTAACTATAGAACATCAAGTCCTCTGGAATTTCTAGCTTCTCTAAATCAGATCCCGAATCCTTCCACAGCTCTCTCCCAGCAATCTGGAATGTGGCACTCCAGTTTCATACTCCACAGACCTGCACAGCTCAGGGCACCTCCATCTTGGTGCCTTTGCTGATATTACCACTTCCATTTCAACGGCGTTCTCATCACTACCCAAGAGTTTGGCAATTTTTTAGGTTCCATTTTAAAATCAGTGCTCCTAAGAAGTCTTTATTGATCTTCTAAAAGAGAATTTGATCCTTTCCTTCTTACTATATGGCTCCTATTTGGAATCTCAAAGGGTATAGAGAAGAGTCACTAGAAATGTATTTATTTAAATTCCAGCTCACCAGTGTGTGTGTGTGTGTGTGTGTGTGTGTGTGTGTGTGTGTGAGAGAGAGAGAGAGAGAGAGAGAGAGAGAGAGAGAGAGAGAGAGAGAGAGAGAGAGGGGCAGTGTTTGGGGATCATATGTGGTGTCAGGAAGCAAACTAAACTTGGCTGCATGCAAGGCAAGCACCTTAACCCCTGTACTATATCTCTGGCTTCCAGCTCACTATTTACTAAGTGAATAACCTAAAAATGCTGACAAAAAGAGGGCCTCTCAAATAATGGGCATTGTTTAGTCAGAGCCTGGTGCATGGAAGTGTTCATACAATTACTATTCTTAAAATGTGCTATTTTTATTTTCGTGTGCATATTCTACAATTATGTGATTAAATGTAACCTCAAAAAATAAGAATCGGTAAACTATTTTTGGTAAAATACTAGATAGTAGATATTTAGCTATTTCTGACCACATGTGGTTGTATTTCACATACTGTCACAGGACTGGGGTATATGAGCTCAGAGCTAGGGTAACTTGCTTTGTCTGTGTGAGGCCCCGTGTTCAATCCCTAGAACTGAAAAAAAAAAAAAGATCTCAAAAACCAAAATAGGCTATAAGCCATATTTGGCTAGAGAACATAATTTGATGAACCCGGGCATTTTAGCAACTTCCAAAGCTCATAGTACCTCAATTTATTTATTTGCTTTTTCATTTCTTTAAAAATATTTTTATTAAATCACTGTGAGATACAATTACAAAGTTGTTCATGATTGGCTTTCAGTCATAGAATGCTCCAATATCCAACCCTAAACCAGTGTACATTTCCCATCATCAATGTCCTCAGTTTCCTTCCTGCTACCACCCCATTCCCCAGCCCTGCCCCAGATTGCCTTGATGGCAGGCACTTTTTTCTTTCTCTCTCATGTAGTACTGTAATGTATACAAAAGAGGCTAATGACATAAACTAATAAAATATTTTTTGGAAAAATAGGTAAATGTTAGTTGGCTCTCACTAAATGCATTTATCAGGAAGGTTTTATTCATCAATATGCTAGTGCTTTCAAGTATTTAAGAGGTATGCTGTGAAATAGCCCAGCACAAAGTCAGTTATGCAGACTTTTCAGAATTAATCTCAAAGACACTTGCTTAAATAACTTAGAAAAATTCAAGTGACCTACTTTGTTCTCATGTGAATCCCTGCCTACTTACACCCTCAGTTATGGGGACCGTCTTCCCAGGATAGAAAATGATATTTTCTTCTAACTTACTTTGTTCTATTCTAAGACAGAATCAGAGAGAATTTGGGGTCATCCAGGAATACTCGAGAGCCATCAACTTACCTGTTCTGCCCATGGCCATCTTCTGCGCAGACAGTTCACCTGAGACACAGCTGATGGTAACTTGATACAAGCGTCCAGGGGTTAAGTCTTTAAAATAAGTTTCAGTAATCTGAGGTGCTAACATTCTGGATTCTTTGATGGTCCCTTGGTGAGAAAGGGTGATGTTGTAGGAATCCACGTTTCCAGGAGGTCTTTGCCATTTGGCTTTCAGAGAGGTCAAAGAGCCATCATTTGTCACCTTCAGATATGAGACTTCCATGGGGGCTAGTAAAGATTGAGAGGAAATAAGACTTTAACTTAGGATGGTTTACCCAACTGGTGACCAACTCTGACCCTGAATTTTAATCCCCAAAAGGAACAACTTCTGCTCAGAAAAAAATAGTCACTTCAAGAGGTCAAGCCCAGCAGAGTCAGTTATACAGACTTTTCAGAATTGATTCAAAACACTTGCTTAAATAACTTAGATAAATTCAAGTGACATACTTTGTTCTCAGATGAGAACTAAAGCAATGCTGGGGAGTAGAAAGAGCTGGGATGTAGCTGTTGGGAGCCCAGGTTTGAGTTTATTCCTGGGAAACCCTGTAGGGCTCTATCTCAACAGAATCTATGGGTCCTTATTCACAAATAAAGGCTTGCTCGAGAGAGCTAACATGATACTTCCAATTCTGAATTCTTTATGGGAATCTCCAAGAAGTCTGTCATCCATTATTTGTCTTATATCTTGTTGTCTTTATGCATTTAATAAAAGAAAGTATCTAATATTTGTTTTTTATATTTGATTGTAAATTCCAATAAATCTTGGGTTATGTCATTATTTCATCAAAGGAAAATTACTATAAAGAAGAAATACGTTGGTGAAAATCTTCTATCTACATGCTCTTGATATGTATTTTGGTCATTAAAGTCAAATAGAAATAAGAAACACTTCATTAAAAGAACGGGTGGAGTTCATGCAAAATTCAATCAGCCTAATCAGCCTAATCAGTGGCTGAATAAATAACAGTACTCCTACATTAAAGTGAAAAAAAAAAAAGAACGGGACCTGCACATTGAGTATGCATCGACCAGTAATAAGTGTAATTAGCTTTTCATGTATATAAATAATTCTTTTAATTATCTTTTGTTTTATTTTTTTGGTCACACCCAGAGATGCTCAGGGGTTACTCCTGGCTCTGAAATCAGTAATTATTCTTGGTAGTGCTCAGGGGACCATATGGGATTCTGGTACTTGAAACTGGGTAAGCAACAAGCAAGGCAATCACCCTATCTGCTATATTATTGCTATGACCCATCATGTACATAAATAAGTCTTAAGACATATGGTACACTTTGTTGGGAATGTCAACACATCTTTGATGTGTGATATGAAAATTACATTAATGTCTGTAATTCCCTAGATACCTTGCCACTAACACCTAATAGTTCTAGAAACTTTCCCAACTAAAGCAATTTTAAAAACACTTTGCTATTTAGTTGCTCTTACAATTATATAGCTTACCAAGAGAAGGAATTTAATAACGCATTAGACCTACCAGAGCATTAGAACCTTCTAGAATATAAACACCATGAAGGCAAAGATATTTTTCTTGACACCGTTCTAGCCAGAATGCTTTGCATATAGTTCATCCTCAGTAAATCTGAACTAAATGAATACATACATGAATTATATATTAGAACTTAACTCAAATTAGTTTATCTGGTTAGGTTAGACTGTGAGAATAAGTCACGTCATCTTGGGTGTCAGGACATGTTTTGTTGGGAAATGACTGTTTCATAGGAGATCTTTACAGAGCACTGAGAAAGTAAGCCTCAGTTATTGTGAGTGAGGCCATGTAGGCAATAGATGTGTATTTAAGAGAAAGAAAGGACGGAAGATCCTTTCTCACTTAGAATACTGAAGAAAACTGGCTCACTAAAGACAAGTTCACAACATTCCAGTGATCTTTGTTCATTTCAATATATTGTCAGGGGGCTAGTATAAACGTTAGACTGAGGGTAAGTTCCTTTCTCTGTGTAAACCCAACCCAGGGGTCTATGAAGAGTCTCCTGTAACATGCATATGTTTGAATTTTACTGTATTGCCATTATCCAAGTAAATTTCATAGGACATGTGTATAAAACAATTTCTGATTTGAGGCTCATTTGGCTGGCTAGGAGCTCTTACCTGTCCTGGCCAGTTTCCATTTGTAGTTCTGTAGCCCTGCAACCTCGGCCAAAACTGTGAGGTTGTACAGGTGGCCAGGGCTCAGCCCTTGAAAAGTGTAGGAAGTGGCAGATGGTTCTACAACACTGTCTTGAACGACGATTCCTTTATCCATTAGCAGCAGCTGGTATTTTTCCACATTCCCAGAGCCAGGGGACCAGGAAACCAGGAGAGAATTAGTTTTTGATGAAATATGAATATCTTTCACAGGGGAAGGCACTAGTGAGAGAAAGTACATTTCCAAGTGTCATTCATAATTTCCTTAGAGAATGCACAGGCCCATATAATTAGAAATCACATTCTCATTTATGTTTCTCTGCATGTCTCATTTGTGTGGTAACAGTAACAAAAGCAGCATTCTTCAAATTTCACTGGAAGTGAGAACTCCTGCAGTCTATAACCTAAAGCTACCTCATAATTTACTTGTCTGTCTCCCCCACTTCAGGTAGTTTTTAACCAATGAATGTGGCATAATAGTAATGAGAAAAGAACTATGGAAGATTAAAAATGGAAAGAGAATAAACAGGAGAGAAAAAGAAGAGAGGATATATCATAAGAAACACGGTGTTTTATGGAGAATGTAGCATTCTTTTTTTTTTTTTCCTTTTTGGGTCATAGCCGGCGATGCACAGGGGTTACTCTTGACTTTGCACTCAGGAATTACTCCTGGCAGTGCTTGGGGAACCATATGGGATGCTGGGAATGGAACCCAGGTTGGCTGCGTGCAAGGCAAATGCCTTACCCGCTGTACTATCACTCCAGCCCTATAAGGCATTCTTGAGATCAAGAAGTGAGTGAGGGTATTTCTTATCAAACTGAAGGAGCAAAAACTTAGAAAAAATAAGAATATTTAGGAAATGTCATTATTTGATGTTATGAAAAGACCATACAAAGGAGGAAAACATCTAAATAGTAAGTTTTATGGCCCAAACTTATACAATGAGGTAGAAAATCCTTTTGTTTAAGGTTTGAGTTAGAATGGCCATTAGGAAATAACAACTTCCTTTTGGAACAAATCCTAGTCCCAAAGACATTCTCTGACTTGCTCAAAATCACCCAGAGAACTAGCAGCACTGCCACGTCTTCTTAATTTTAGATCAGTATATCCACTATGTTTCACTGTCTCTTTATCTAGTTTATCTATATATCATTATTAGTCTGGGCCTTTGTTACTCCCATTTCTGAAGTTTAATACATCTTCAAACAGAGCATAGATTATTAAATATCAAGCTCCCAGTAAATAGGTCGTACCTGTTGATCCATTGGTATAAATTGTTGAGGAACGTTTGTCTCCAGAAAGAGCAGTGATGGCAATAATGTATTTGTTTCCGGCAGTGAGGTTGAAAAATGTGTGATCATTCCTTGAAGTAAATTCTGGATTTTGGATATCTTGTATCTTTTGGGCATCAGCAAATAACTGCAATTCATATCCAGTGACTTCTCCAGAAGAAGGTGTCCACCAAACATGTAAGCTGGTTGAAGTAGTCTTCTCTTTACTAAATTCAAACCTAGAAGGAGGTAAAGGATCTGCAAGACAAATACCAAGAAAGAATGTGGTTCGATGACTCTGGCAAATACATCCTTACCTAATTGTAATCCAGGTTGATTTTACCTTAAAAACTTGAGGATAGGATACCCAGCGAATAAATGGGCAATTTATATCATTTTAAACTTGCTGTTATATATGTTTATATATATATACATATATTATTTATATGATGAGTTACAGGTGTACAATGATCAAGAACCAATCCCTTTATATCAGAGTCCACTTCCCTCCACCAATACCCACAGTTTCCTTACTGCCCCTGGCCCATCTCTCTATGGCAGGCTCTTCCCTCCTTTTTCTTTCATTCTTTCTTTCTTTAAAGTTAAATAACCATGGGATATATAGTTACAAAGCTGTTCATGACTGAGTTTCAGTCATATTATGTTCCAAAACCCACCCCTTCACCAGTGCACATTTCCCGCCACTAATGTCCACAGTTTCCCTCCCACCGTGCCCCCAGAGCCTGCCTTTATGGCAGGCACTCTCTCTCTCTCTCTCTAAGTCTCTCTCTCTTTCTCTCTCACTCACTTGCTTGCTCACTCTTTCTCTCACTCTCTCACTCTCTCATTTTTCTTTAGGTACTATGATTTGCAATACTAGAACAGTATAAGGAGTTTAAGTTTAAGAAGTTCAATTATGAACTAACAACATCACAAACAGGAACAAATCAATCTTATTTGGTTTCAAAAGGTGTTTATGAGCCAAAATGTAATAAATGGGTCACCTAGAAACAACATACCTTTGCTAAAAGCAGTCTATGATAACCCTGGACAGTTAAATGTCTTCATCTATGTTTTATACTATGAATTATATAACTATATGATGCTGAAAAAATTAATTAAGCCAATATATCATACTTCTATATATTATATCAATGTTTATGCACTGATATATATACATGTATGCACACACACATATATATGCAAAATATACAAAATATACAAAGCAGGAGTGATTCAGAAAGTTCAAAGCATGGTGAGTTTGGAGGGCAATGTTGTCTCACTCATACCCTAGTGTGGCCCAGGTTCAGTTGAAAAGCCTAGATTATGGGGCCTATGGCCTGGCTGGAATTCAGCAGTTTAGGTGATTATTCATAAGTCTCTCCACTGCCTCCTTACTTGTCTCATATGTGCAATGTATGCATGTATGCAATGTTGATAGTAATGTTACCTTTGTTTTTAAACTAGAACTGTTATGAAGATTTGGGGCTGGAGCTATAGTACTCCGTAGGGCATTTGCCTTGCAAGCAGCCAACCCAGATTCAATCCTGGGAATCCCATACGGTCCCCAAAACAACATCACAAGTAATTCCTGAGTGCAGAGCCAGGAGCATCCCCTGAGCATTGCCAGGTGTGACCCAAACAACAACAACAAAACAAAACAAAAAAGAACTGAAGAACTGTTATGAAGATTAAATAGAATATCTTACCAAAAATTCTTAGGGCCATGTTAGGTACATGGTAAGTGTTGAATGTTAGCTACTATTATTCTTACTGCAATAATCAGAAGAATATCTTGTCACAGAAGCCAGGAGATGTGTGGATCAAACATGGGCTTTGGGGTCAGACAGAAATAAAATAAAATCTTAGCAATAGCATGTGCGAATCCTGAGACTTTGAGAGGTTATTATAATGCCCCAAAAGTAAAGAGAGTAAGAAGGAAATCTCCTGTCACAGAGATAGAGGGTGGGGCTGAGCTTCAGTGGCGGGAGTGATACTAGGGACATTGTTTGTGGGAAAGCTACACCGGTAGAGGGATGAGTGTTCAATCTTGTATGACTGAAACTCAATCATGAAAGATTTGTAACTCCATCTCACATTGATTCAATTAAAGAATAAAAAAAATACTTTCTCAATTGCTTTGAAGAATAACCAGAGAGGGCTGGAGCAATAGCACAGCGGGTAGGACGTTTGCCTTGCACGTGGCTGACTCAGGTTCAATTCCCAGCATCCCACATGGTCCCCTGAGCACTGCCAGGAGTAATTCCTGTGTTCAGAGCCAGGAATATCCCCTGTGCATTGCCGGGTGTGACGCAAAAAAAAAAAAATGAATAACCAGAGATTTTGCTTGACACACAACAGGGACACAATATTGTAAATATCTGTTTAATTATGAAAAATAAATTTCTTGGGGCTAGAGCGATAGCACAGCGGGTAGGGCACTTGCCTTGCACGCAGCCAACATGGCCAACACAGGTTCGATTCCCAGTATCCCATATGGTCCCCCGAGCACCGCCAGGAGCAATTCCTGAGTGCATGAGCCAGGAGTAACCCCTGAGCATTGCCGGGTGTGACCCAAAAAGCAAACATAAATAAATAAATAAATAAATAAATAAATTTCTTCCTCTGAATCATTGCCAAAATGGTGGCAAAAGTGAAATAAAAAGATGTTTTGAAAATAAACTTAAATTAGCATATTACATTTTTTAATAAGAAACCTTGATAAAATCCTATCAGTTTGAAAGGCCAGAGAATAGTACAGGGTAAGGCACTTCCCATGTATCTAAGAAGCACCCTGAGTGTTGCCAGCTGTTGCACCAACTTTCCCTTCAGATATTTTTGTGGGGAGGCACACCCAGTGATACTCAGGGTTTACTCTTAGCTCTGTGTTGAGGGCTCACTACTAATGGTGATCTGGGGACCATATCTGGTACTGGGAATCAAACCTGAATCAGTTGTGTGCAAGTCAAATCCCTTACCTCAGTACTATTTCGGTTTCTCTCCAATCTTATCATTTTATCCCAAGAATTAGCACTTTCTTTTTATTAAAATTTTTTTCTTTTAATTTATTTTTTGGTTTTGGGCCACAGTCAGCATCGTTCAGGATTAACCCCTGGCTCTGCGCTCAATAATCACTCATGGTGGGTTGGGGGACGGGGAAATATGGGGTGCAGGGTATCAAACCCAGGTTGGCTGAGAGCAAGGCAAGTACTCTACCCACTGTACTATCACTCCGGCCCCTCTAACTCTGAACATTGAAAAAAAAAATCCCAATATAATTCTTATTTATAAATTCTTGGAGGACAAAAGAAATGTAGAATTTTTTTTCTGGCAATATTATTAAAAGATTCTATCTTATTATAGTCAATAGAAACATCACAATGAAAGGAATTAACAATTTTTCTTGTTACCTAGCAAGGACAAATTTCTTTATTACCATGAGACCCTATATAGTCAACAGAATTCAAGAACAACCTTGTCAGACCAATGGCGATGACACATTTTTTGCTGAAGTGGCATTTGAGAGGGGAAAATGGATGAAAGAGACAACTGCATTCCAGTGATAGTTTTAAAAGGTTAAACACAGTCACCTTGTCTGCCATCAGGTCGGAGAAAGGTTAAAAAAATTCAAGTTGTGATCAATATCACCTAAGTGTATACATTGTGCCAAATATGAACTATATAGGACATGAATTTTTAAGGTTGCGTGTCTAGAGGGTGAAGTTCAGAAATGCAGACTTTATCTAATCTCTCTGCACCAGAAAACAAAACAGTCAATCCTTTGTACATCCGCTAGAACAAAGGAACAATGAGACTGGGAAGTGCCTGGGCTTCGAGAACCTGCACTGGAAACAAACACTTAAAACCCCATTTATGCTGTGATAAAGCCTTTTACTGGCAGTTGGCCACCATTGCCATGCGCACTGCTGAAGTGAGTTTACAGACTTCTTTCCAGTCTAAGCACAGAGAAAACTCTGCTGCATTTTAAAAAAGTGTCCCATATGTTATTAGAAATAAATCGGATGCTCCTTTAGGGGGTACATCAGGGTGATCATTTAATATACACAGACACACACACATACCCACGTATATTCATGCAGAATATTATTTTTAATATTATCACTATACTAATATTATTTTCAGTATAATCACTATATTAACATTACAAAGTTAAATATATATTGGCACTCCTCATCATTTGACAGGTCATATGTAAATAATGCTGGCGGCCAGAGGTAACAAGACACATATATGTGCATTTATAGCCCCCTGTTTTCCCACACTCATTCCCAGGTACACAGTAACCAGTGAGGCAGTACCAGATAAATTCTTCTTGATCAATATGCCAGATTTTACCATTTACAGACATACCCGTTTGTACTTTCAAATAAACTTGGAATATGAAATATCAAATGCAAGGTTCTATAATATACACTTGTTAAAGTTCAATAAATCTGCATCAGGAAATTCCACAATTTCATAGGTTTAAAGTCAACCCAATTTTTCTGTTCCCAATATAAAAGATTAAGTTTAACTAAATTCCTGAGCCAAAATGAGCTCTTCCTTCTTTAAACAAATATAATTTAGTAAGAGGAGGATGTTATATAATGATATGTGACATATGTATATATTACACATATACATATATAATACAAGAAATATTGGATTTAACTTTTTTGTGCATGTGAAGTAAGACAGTTTTCATTGAACAAATCTTGCTTAGAAATACATGAAAGGAGAAAAAGAGAGTAAGCATGTGTTCAACAGAGAACACGGACTTCTCCCAGAGTAGAAAAGCAAGAAAAAAAGATATAGAGACAAGAAAGTAAATTCTATGTTCAGGGCAGAACATGGACTTGAAGAATGAGGCATAAAACATGCTCTTTTTTTTTTTTTTGGTATGGCCATTAAAACTTTACTACCTATCTGTAAAGGAATTCCAATGTTTAGGATTTAAAGTGATAGTATTAATTTTGGAAATAAAATGAACCGTATAGCAAGAAGACAAAGAATTCTGTTTAGGACACAACCCCCAACCTCTGACTGTGGGAGGTGTCCCGCCCTTTTCCTTTTCTTTTTCCTTCTCTTAAATAAAATCTAAAAAAAAAAAAAAAAAACAATCAACCCATGAATTGGTGCCAAAAGCTTTTGTTTAAATCATAATAGCACCAGAGTATATCTGTATCGCATCTGTTAGTTTACAGTGCTCTTTCTCAGTTGGAATAGGGGGTCAGAGAGAGTGAGTGACATGTCATACA